TTCAAGGCCCTCCGGATTTTCTTTTTGCCTCAATTTCTTACCGATGGAGAGAGATTTTTTTCTTATCTCTACGGATGAGTTCACACAGAGTGGTTGGTTACGCGTTGGACAGGTTTTCGAGTTATTGAATATGCTTGAATGATCGTTAACCAGAGCCTCTATATGATATAACGGGATCTCGGTAGCTGTCGAATGGAATCGTATGAAATAATCAGCTCTCGGTTCGTTAAAGAACGGAATAATAAGAGGAAAAAATGGGAATGGCATGATAAATGAGTTTATCAGAGCATTCGCCAATGAAATAATGCTCTCCACGATTTTCATTGGTACTCAATCTAGAAAATAGTAAATCAACATTATTGCTTAATTGAGAGAAGCGCGAATGAATTATTACATTGGGTAAAAATTAGTCTTGATCGTTCCATTCCCCTTTGATAAACAAAACCAGTCTGGGTTATCACCATTATCTTCATTTCTCAGTATTGAACTTTTCATTTTTAATTCACTGTCTCGGAAGTTTGATGCGAAATGTCAAAGCTCTTGTATGACGGCTTTTATCAAAGGGAGCGCTCAGTCCGCACAGGGAATAATATATTTGTGGGGCAAACAAAGGCAATATGCCCATTTTCTGATAACACCGGACATTATCCGCTACTTGAGGGTAAATATTTCTCTGTTTGCAGATCATCGGAGGGCTATACCGGAGAAGAAAAATTATTTTGATTCAGAATATTTACTCGATTAAAAAAAATCTGTCACCGCAATTGATAAAGTACGATAAGATCACAAAATTAGCGTTGAACTACAGAAAAGTTATTTATGAAAATATCAGTATTTTCATTGAAAAAAAAAAAAAAACAATTTTTCAAAGTGATAAAAAAGCCGAAGGGTGAGGTAATCATTTTTAATAGTTCCTTACAATGTGGATCACCATCTCCATAATTGCGTCGTCCGCCTAACCGCCGACGGTAAGAACATGTGAATGACCATTAAAGTACCAGCATGAAATTCCCCGGGATCGAACTTCAATTAAACTTTATGCCTCGGATGTTTCATTTGGGAATTCCTCTCGTTATAAAGGCGTATGGCTTTTCCCCGTGGGAAAATAATTTTTCTCGCTTGCCCTTCACCCTCGTGTCATCGTTACATTCAACAGGTAGAAGATTTTTTTTTTTTTTTTGTTGTTTATTTTTTCCACTATCCCCCTCACTTTTTCACTACTCACCTTCACGGAAGAGCTCCCTTCGAGCAAGTGTATTGTGAGAATTACCTAGGGGAGCAATGAATGAGACCTGTTGGGAGGGGACAAGACACCTGACCGACTGAAAATCGGCCTTTTAAATTCTCAAACTGTTCAGTTCAATTTTTAATTCTCCCCTCTTCCGCAGAATAAATATTCATCATCGCTCCTTAATCTATATTTATCTCATTTTCCCATGACTTTTTTCACTAAATTGATTGAAATTCATTACATTTTTAAACAGTATTAGTATAAATTTTCAATTTAGTCGTAGAAATCGTACTCGTGGAAGAATTATAAATACAAGAACTGAGTCACACTGTAAAAATAAGCAATGTTGCTTAAGCATAAATTTTCTCTCATCGTCTTTCGCTTTGAAAAACCACACCACTGAATTTTCGTGTTTGTTTGTTTCTCCTGTTTTAAACATCTCAGTATAATTCGTTAAAGCGCCCGATTATTACTGTACCAATTAAAAATTAGGGACTTGCTGCTCAATCATCTCACTTCTTTGACTTCTCGCCAACGTACCTCTTCGTTTATTCAAATAAATTTGAGGTGCCATGGTGATAAATGAAACATGACTCTCATCAGGTGAATTCCGAGTTGAGATTATGATTCTTACCTCCCGGTTGTCCAATTAACCTCTTCACTGTATATTGAATGGTGATGTAATTTTTACGAGTTGTTCTACCAGCACTAAGAATACGAGACACCAGAGACTTTCAACATCTGTGCGTGAGCACTCATCTCCAAAAGACCCACGTTTATTTTTTCCCCCAATCGGAGGATCGATTATGCAGCTGCAAACTTCCGGTCTTTAATGATATATTTCACGCTATTTGCGTGTGGGGTTCATCGACACGGGAAAATTTTCAAATCAGTGTCATAGGAAATAAAATCTTTACCGGTTATTTGTGAGTTTGTTTCTTTTTTTACTAGTTATTTTTTTCCTCTTTTCAATGAACCGATGAAACTGGAATAGTCGCGTCAACGGAGGACGAAGGGGTGCAGGGGTTCGTGTGGAATTCGAGCCGTTCCCTGCTCGAGAAAAATTCTTCAGCAGCGACTTCAACTCGGTATAATCTTCCGATTTGATCTCTCGTACAGGTCCATTCATTCGGTTTTTTTTTTATTTTCCACCGAAGTAGTTCTCAATAAATTACTAACATTCTCACAATTTGACCAATTGTTTTCGCTCAAAGGAATAGCATGCGTCAATTGGAAATAGAGCAATAAGGCTTAGAAATTCGCAGTTATACTCGTGTTTATTTTAATGTGTTGACAAAATGGGAGGGGATGGCAGTAGATTGTTTCTAGGCCATTATGGCCTAGTAGTATGTCACGGTGCACCGCTCGCAATTACGAAACCCGATGATCTCATAGTAATCACTGTAGTACAACACTTGCTATGACTCCATTCTTCCACTCATAATGCACTCAATGCACTTCTTCAGAAAAAATCAGATACCGTAGAGTTGAGGCTGGATATTCTGACAATGCCAGGTTTGCATTAACACTCGGATAACTATGTAATGAAACAGTAAATGTAGGGATTTAATTTTAGATAAATTATCGGCGATTATTATTGGTGCGACAGCTGGAGCTGTGTGAAGAGAGGATTGGATTTTTAGAGCAGACAGACCGAAATAACCAGATTTATTTTTGGAATTCCAGAGACTCGATCATCATTTGAAAAGTCAATTTCACTTAGCCTTCAGCCTGTTCTGATTGTTCTGATTATTTCAAGAATGTGGTCGAATATTACATTGAAAAAAGTTGGTTGTTGGAATATTACCCTTGGCAACAATTCAATGAATTAATGTCTCCGTTAGTATTTCCATATTAAACACAAAAACCAGTGAAATCAGTAGGTTTGGATGAGGGTCATTATTAGAAGGTATTGGTAGTGCAGGTGCAGGTGCAGCCGGTCCTCGGCAATATTTTTTCACTATCTCGTTATCCTGTGGTGAAACCGTATTTTCCATGAGCAAGTGGGGGTCTCCTGGCGCATTATTCACGCGCCCAACGGGACCAAGAGGTCAGACACGCGAGAAAGTGGGCCACATTGGGAACGTTAACCTTTTGCTCGTTGTTGTCGACTTTTTGATACCATGTCAATTACACCATCCCAATTCTAGAGAATTAGGGCCGCCCTAATTCCTTGATGAAATGCGCACCTTGATGAAATTTTCGTTTTCAAGTGTATTTGCGAATGTTTTGTAAGAATGATAATTGATGCTTCAATAGTTACTCATTAATCATCTCCTCATATAAGTCCATGCTTTTTTTTTTTACTAGAAGACCCTTTGCATCAAAAAAAAAAAAAAATCATTCAACATTATATGCCAACACCTTTTATGCATAGAACATACAATAATCAACTATCAAAAACTTTCTTTCAGTATAATTAACATATTCTATCAATAATTATGAAAAGAATGGCTCCATGGAAACGGTATTTTGGATGAGACAGTAACGTGCGGGCGGGCAAGACAGGCGGCAAATTTAGTGGGTTTATCGCAATGTGCGTCGTATTAATGATGATGCGATTGCGATGAAAAACCGGCTGATCCGGACGAGAAGTGATCAGTGGAACCATAGTCCGGTTTATCTACATTTTTTTTCCTTCTTTTTCTGTTTAATTTAATCTCGAATAGGATGAATATACCGATGTACCATGCGATCGGGCTTGTTATGAATCGAAATTTTCATCCCTCATTTATCTCTCCGACAACAATTTTTGTGATTTATATGTGGAATTATTAAATTGCATTGGCAATATTGGGAGGAAATTTTTATTTTTGATATTTTTTAAAATGCAAAAAGATGGGAAGAATGAGGCTGAAGGTGGAATGGGCCACGCCCAGTCATTAGATTTGCAAGACTTCTCGTGCGCAAGTCCTGAGAAACAAGTGAAACATAAAAAGAAGGAGGGTTTATATGGTAAGGAACATACGCCCCCGACGTTTAATGACGACGAGACGCGACGTCAATGCGACTGCGTATAATACTGGAAATTTCTGCAATCCCTCCTTGGCCTTCCCCCCTTATCCGGACAGCAGAATGGTAATGCGTGTCTGGAGTTGCCTCCACTTCCATGAAACAGTGATTCTTTTGTCGAGTTAATTAATCATTCACTTTTACTTTTTTTCCTCTTGGGGTATGACACGGACACTTTCTCGACACCGATTCATGGACGTTCAACCAGCACCCATCCTCACCTCACCTATATTATCTTAAATGAGTTGTCGTCAATCCGGTGTTGTTGCTAAAAAACTTCTCTCAATTTCTTTTTATTTTTACGAAATTTTAAAGAATTCATTAGGATTCGCGTAACAGTGGCTAGCTCCAATAACAATTGCATGGAAACACTACTGTGTTAGGGACACGTTTATGTGCATATTTTCATGTACAGTGGCAAATACCTTGAAGCGTGACACGAATCCACTTGGTTTGTCGATAAAATCCACACGAAAGTGGATCTTATATTTTTTATTGCAATTCCAGAGCACTGAGGCTTAATCACTCCAGGAATAATCCGATGTTGCGCTCGTTTAACAATTAATGGAAATCAAAAATTGTCTAACTCAACTGAATAAATTAAATAATTAAATGCTCAACGAAAAACACTAATTGCGAATCCCTTCTAAATTTATTGCTTCATTGTGTGCAGTAGATGTAGAAAAAAAAATCTACAAAAAGATCTTCTATATTCTGAAGAGTCTATTAAATAATTTGAGTAATTTTCTAATTTCAGAAATTGCAAAGGTTCGGGCAAGTCTATTTCAAATCAGTGGTGTAAAAAAGGAGCCTCTGACGTTACCAGACCCAGAAGGTGATGTCGTCACACTAACGGAAAAGGTCTACGTGCCAGTAAAAGAACACCCCGATGTGAGTATGAAACGGCTGTCTAGAATTTTAAACATTCTTCTGTGTAAGAGGAATAGCAAGAATATCGTTGCAGCTTGGTGATAAAAAGGAATACATTGATACGTGAGATAGATAATGTAATTGAGAAAAAAGGTTAGATGATGTTGGGGGAATTGTCGTCCGCCCACTGGCGTCTGTAATCGTGTCTGATAATAATCCCAAGTCGATACGCCTCAATGATTATTCAGGCGAGTTCTGAGCCTTTTTCAGGGAGGAGGAACAATATTTTTCAAGTGCCCCTTTACACAATATTTCTGTTTATTATCGAATTTTTAACTGCGACTAAAAAAATCAAATGAAGATGTAATTTCGTAACTCTTCATTGACAAATCATTCTTAAACACTCCATATGATCTACTTGATTCTGCAATAATAATAATAATAATAATAATAATAATAATAATAAAGTGTATCGGGATTTTGGGGATAGCCAAGGTAATGTTTCCGTCGGGTGTGCATGGAAATCTGGTTGGTGGTCTTCCACATGTGCTGTATGGTGACGATAAAAGGGAGATGAGAAAGAGAGCTCTGGCTGCATGAGAAAATGTGTACAAGCCAAGGCGTTTATTTTGGTCGATGTACGAGAATAGAAATCCAAGAGAAGTTTGCCCACACGCACAGTACACGCACTCACCAAAACGCTCTGCCGACTTTACTCGAATACCATTTCAGTTATAATAACGGCCAAATACCCATAGGCTAAACTCACTATTTTTCACTGGTTTTCCCTCATCTTTCCACAAGCTTCTTTCTTAATTTCCAATCTCCTCGGTTGTTAGTTTTTATAGAGTAAAACTCGATCCGAAAAATGTCACCCATTCAAACAAAACAATTTCAAGGCTGCAATTATTGTACACTGACCTCATTTACATCTACAGAAATTCACAGTAGCCCATTATTATTGTGTAAAGAAGATAAAGGGTAGATATTGAGTCAGTGGATAAATAGAAGGGACAAATTGTTGGGGAGACAAACATCGGAGTGAACCGTTATTCAATTGAAACTAATTATTCAAGAACAAAATATCGTTTTACAATTAGCTGCATAAAATCTCCTAATTTTACACAGGTCCTATTCAATTCCGTCGAATCATCCAGAATGAGATTTCTTCTGGATTGAACCAATAGAAAATAGGCGACGAATTGATTAATTCTACCACATAATGCCACTTGAGATACAATTATCCTTCCACGACAATCCTGGGACATATCATTGATATGGAGTCAATGGATTACATAATCTCGACGTCGAAATTGAGGAAATGGAGATATTGTGATCAATGAGTAGACAAACGGAGTGAGCTAAGTGAGCTATTCCAGCGAAGGTTGTAGTCACGCTCTAGATTTGATGCTGATATATACAAAAGTGTTTCACCTCGACGTGGCTCGTCACAACCAAATGTCTCAGGTTTTAAGCGTACCTATATGAGAGCTCAGAGCCCTGAGAGCCCCTGAGGCGATTTCACATGAGAATCACCAACTCTCGGTCCATTAAACCCCCTGGGTTAATGCTTCAATGACGGCGCACCCTGTTCTTATTGTTCGCAAATAGTTTTTCCATCGAGAAGGACAGCATATATTTTTCATCCATGCTAAATCCATGAAAACCTGCAGACTCGGAATTTTTTTATTGCAATGGCCAAGTTACGAATTCATGGGTTATCCATGACGTTGGATATGAGATGGATAAACAGCGGAATAAATTCTGAATTTTATTTTCGCAGTGCGAAACCATTCTATAAAAAGACACCCACTGGATTCCACATGATCGGGTTTCTCGTTAAAAGAATAAAAAATAAGAGGAGCAAATATTCGCTCTTTCTCTCTCAGCTGCAGAAATTTCCATCCAATTCTATCCTTCAAAAAACTTAACTAAAGAGCATTTGAAAGATAACATTTTTAATACAGAGAATATGTGCAGTCAATTATTTTAAATTTTTGAGAAGCAGTCGACAACTTTTTCACTAAAGTTTATATTATTTTCCAGAATTATTCGACCAAGTTTATGGATTGCAAAATATTCTGTGATTCTACTAAAAATATTCAATCCAGCTATGAAAAAAAAATCCTTTTGATTTTTAATATTCACTTGTTAGTCACATTGTAAAGCCACGTTAACCAATTATATCTACATATGCAATAATATTTTTTTGACAATTGAATTATTATTTTATTGGTAATAGTCAGACGGAAATGGGAGTGATAATTATCAGGCTAGTACCGATAATTATTACAACGATTTCTGAGAATGTCTTGTGAAGTGTTAGCCGCTGGTTATTGTTACAAAATCTATATTTAAAGGCTGAACTGGATGGCCTGTAGGTCGAAAAGTCTTGAGAATGTTCGGATACACAAACGCTTACCCATTGCTTACCAATCCGGTGATCGGGCGATGTTAAATCTTTGAAATTAAAATTGTTTTAATTATTTTTGAAAATAAATTTACTTCCATTAACAAAGTGTAAAGAAAATATATTGAAATTCAGGACTGATGTTCTCCACTGATTTTCTCATATACGCAGAGGAGGAAAAACACTTGGGTACATGAATGTTCCTTGCTTAGTCAGTCTCTCCTAATTGTAGGGTAATTGCGAGGGGTAACTACACGACTTTACACCGGATATAAGGTCTGCGAGTATTATATGACCGGTGCGCTCTTTTCAAGTGCTAAATCTTTAATGCGAGACAAAAAATATTTCAACTTTGAAAGAAATTCTAATCTTGAAACCTTACTTGATTGATGATAAAAATTTTGAATAATTGAATTAAAAAAAAAAAAAAAAAGTTTACTTATCGTACAGAGAGTGATGTATTTTACAATGTGTGAAGAAAGGTTTAGAGAGGTATCGAGAAAATGATGAGTAGAGGAGTTGGCGGCACCTACATTATAATGACGGGGCGCTCCTTTTTTCGAGGAGTTGGTGGCGGCGTCGGTTACCCCCCACCAGCAGTACTTACCAGTAGGTCTTACTTCACATCCTCAAATGATAATACGCAATTGCGTATCTTCCTACGCAATGCTCCGTGTCTCTAGACAAATACATTTTAATCCTTTCCCCCTTGAAACTGTGGGAAACGAGCGTATTTGTCGCCGCAAACAGACATTCAACATTGCATATTATTACAATCACGAAGGTATTAGCATTGGCTAATAGGAAAAAATGTTCTAAACATTTCCTTTTAGGTGGACATCGTAAAGAGCCAAACATAAAGTTTAAGTGGCTATTGTGGCTAGATTGCTCGTATATGAATAGTTGAGTGAAACTAAGCTTTCATTTTAATCTCGTCTTTCCTATTTTCACAATGTGCAAACTACTGTGTTCACAACTCTCGAGGCTTTGATTCTATATAAATATCTGTATATCGTTAATTTTATTATTTATCGTTTCAGTTTAATTTCGTTGGAAGGATTTTGGGGCCACGTGGAATGACAGCGAAACAACTTGAACAAGAGACAGGATGTAAAATAATGGTGCGAGGCAAGGGCTCGATGAGGGATAAAAAGAAGGTAAAGCCCCAAATTCGTAAGTCATTAGAGCTGTAACGGTGAGATCAAACGAAAAAATCACAGACAGACATGCAACGCCATTCACCATTTATATTGAACTTTTTGGTGCGCTTGAATCTCGTGATTTTATGTCCATATTCGGGTTAGAAATCGAGGTGAACACTTGGTGAATGCCTCGTGGCATGCGAGTTGGATTAACACTCGTTTGAAGAGAAAATGAAAATATGGCCTGCACGCTGGCAAGCGTACACCTTCACCAGTACCAAGTCGAATATGCCCATCATACCTGTCGCGTAGTGTATTGTAGGAAAATGTTACCGGTTAAGGTGAAATGAGAGGAGAATGGAACGAAGATAGAGAGGTGACACTCCACCGTGGTCACTGCACTCTTCATATATACTCAACCACCTCCCTGGATGGCTGAGTGATTGAGTGACTTTTCAAATGTCCCAGTACTTTTCCGCCGAATTCATTCATTTATTCATATAATTATTTTTATATTCAAACTATGCATTAAAATTGGTGAAAAATGAACTTGAATATTCTTATATTTTTGCTTAAAATTCACCTATTGACTGAATTTCTTTAACTATCCCTAATGGACTCTATTTTTTTTTTTTTTTTTTTTTTTTCAATTTGCTACTCGTCCCAACACAATTTCCCATTATTACGATTTGCTTCTAAATATTCATCACTCTCGTTCAATTTCTATGGCATCCGAGGATACCTCAAACTTTTACTTGTTTCAATGCTGCGAGTATCCAACTGAATAACTATGCATTAAATATGAATCATTGTTTTCAAGCTGCGCTTGGCAATCGTGTGAAAGCTCTTGTAAGTACATAATGTGATACATTACTCTCATTTGTTATTTTGCGTTGCGTTTTTCTCACAATTTAGGATTGAGTAGCTGTAAGTGCTGTAAGGCATGAATAAAATGTATCATATCCACCAGATTTACTCAGAGTTATGTAATGTTCTTGTCGCCGAGTGAATGGTCTGTGCTGTGTAATGAATTTTTTATCATTTCAAAATTACGACTCATGGTGAAGCACTCGATGCGATATAAATTCATTGTTTCGATTGACTCAACAGGAGGAGCAGAACCGGGGAAAACCAAATTGGGAACATCTCACAGACGAATTGCACGTTTTACTCACAGTCGAGGACACTGAGAATCGCGCTACATTAAAGCTCGCTCGTGCCGTCGAGGAAGTCAAGAAACTTCTTGTGCCCGTGGTGAGACAGTTCCAACTTGCTTCTTTACAAATCTTTTTTTACTTTCTTTTCCCAATTCTCTTATTAGCGATTGAATAAAATTTGACAAATTCACTCCAATTAAACTCAGAGACCGAATCATATAAGATGATTTTATTTAGGCCACCTTCAAATTTTCTTTTCATAGAAAATATTATTAGAAAATATTTTTCACATAATAAAGTAAATGTATTAAATTAATGACAAAACGTTCATATATTTGCGCTTCACCCTTCAATAGTACATGAAAATAGTCTTTACATTCTGTTTCACCACTGATATACAACTGACAAAAAATGAGACAAGTGTTTGTACACCACGCATATCTCGTGTGTCTTTGGCAAACTGTCGTCACAAATACTTGCGATAAAAAAAAATCTCGACAATAGCAATTGAGTGTCTCGTTGTTGATTATCCCCTTGAATACAAAAAAAAATAATTAATTGAGCTGGGTGAATGTCAGAGATATCAATCGGATACTGACGTTGATGTCGATTGTTAGCAGGCTGATGGTGAGGACGAACTGAAGAAGCGGCAGCTTATGGAGCTTGCCATTATAAACGGTACCTACAGAGACTCAAACACTAAAGTTGCTGCTGCAGCAGGTAAATTTATGTCATCTATGAACTATAACCTCATAATTATAGGTATACATGAGCGAAATTTGTAATTGAAAAATTTCGTAAGATCATTAACAATATGGGGGAGTCACCTTGTTTTAAACTCGAGTGAGGTTGGTTAATGCATGTTGATTATATGGAAGATAAAAAGTCTCGTGATTCCAATGAGACCTATCTATGTGAAAGGATAAAGTGTCTCGGGTCTGACCGCACGTTAAAACATATGAGCTATAACAATTGCCCAAGAACAATAGTTATTTTCTATGAAGATGTTGCTTATCGCCTGAGAACTATCCTCGGGTGTTAAGGCATGTGCCGATGAATATTACCACGAGAGATAATATGAATCGTGAAAACAAGTCAATTAACTTGTTTAATCTTTTCGTTTCTGGGTTGGATTTTTTTTCGGAATTATTATGTATGCTTTAATTATGCCATATACAATGAAATCTCCATTGGATTTTTGGGCTAATGTATTGCTGGCAAAATAGTGTCGCTCTAGACATTTTATCTTTGAGTTCTTTTCACATCTAATTCATTCCGTACATGGCCACTATTTAGTTTTTGGTCAGTAAAATTTTTCATTGAATAATCTCTAAATAATAAAATTAAAATAGTGCTGGTTAGCTTATGCTTTAATAATGGAAATAAATATAAAGGATATTAGCTTTAAATAAATGGTTCCACTCCCCTGACAAGACTAAAAATCTGACGAATGATCGTAGCGTTCGACATTGCAGCCTGCGATGAGGAATGGAGGCGTGTAGCAGCAGCAGCAGCTGAGACCCAGCGTCTGCTCCCAGGTCTCGGTACGCAGATGAGAACTCAGAATGCACCCCTTGGTGCACCACTGATACTCTCGCCAAGGATATCCGTTCCAACAACAGCAGCCTCTCTGCTGAATGGCTCAGGCCCACCAGGCTCATTGCTGTCAGCTGGTGATCCACATGGTCTCATCTACACCCCATATGCAGACTACGCAAACTACGCAGCACTTGCAGCATCACCACTTCTCACCGAGTACGCTGACCATTCTGGTGGGTTATTTGCTCGCTGACGCTAGATGCACGAGACCGAGCTCTCATTTATTGATTATTATTATTACCCTATTTCTCTTTGAATTATCAGACTCATGATGAATACTTGACACTCTCTTCACTAGATCCAATTGCCATTATTTTTATTGGATGGAAACACCATCACGACAGAGTGTTCACTGTACGTTTATAAATATTACATCGTCTTATTGTCTAGGGCCCCTAGAGTTTAACTCGAAAAGAAGAACAAAAATAGTTTAAATCAGTCATTTACTAGTCGCGTCATTGTTTGTTTATTTTTTTTTTTTCTTCATTTTTTTTAGGGAGATTTTTCTTTTTTACTGAGCTCTCAATGAAGATAAGTGGTTATTGTTTTTCTTTTTTTTTTCTCCATGTTTTTTTCATTAATCATCCGTAATTACATAATTCCCCCCCGGCGTTCGCGATAGGACGATGCGAGGATGTAGAATGAATGCTAGTCCATAAACCGTCGATTTTTAAGATGCCATGTGGATTGTTTAGGACCAATGGTGAAGGTTAAATCGGTGGAGTTGTACTTTAGTAGATTAGAAAATCGTGCGGATTGTTTTGGAGATCACACCGTCCTTGAGGGGCACTGGGCCCGCTAATGCAAAAAGTATTTCCAACCCATTAAGAGTATCAACATGTAGTGATGTAGAATACGATACGAAAAGCGCCTTGTTATTGCGTTAACGTTCGATAACTGTAAGTGAAGTTGTTTTAACATACCAAACGGATATATATATATATATATATATATGTACTACTTCTAACGGATCCTCGTACACTCTCGTCTGAATAGGTTGAGCGCGGGGCGTCCAGTCATGTGGCACATTTCGTGCATTACTCAGTGCAACAAAGGCCATTAATTGTTTTTAGTAATCTTCTCTTGTAGAAGTTAGATGAGGAAAAAAAATGTCAGAAGTTTATTTTATGGCTATAAAGATTATTATATATTTATTGAGGATGTAGTACTCTAGGACTAGAAGACTAGTTTTATATATTACTATTAATATAATTTCATTTTTTTTTTTTTTTTTTTCATTTTGAACAGCAGTTGAAATTATCCACTGAATTCATTTCTGCGCTTTCACATCGTCCGAATCCCGTTCCCTACAATGACTTTTCTTAATGATTAATTTTTACATTAGTTTATTTACCGCGGTGATGGTTAATCAATATTCGTAGTTTTTTTTGTGCACTGTTAAAAATTATTTTAGGCAATTTTTTGTTACTCTCTTCGGGACGCACCTAAGTTAACAACTACAACGTAATAAACTAGAATCTCGAGTTAGAATTTCCCTAGGGTTTGGTCTAACCCGTGAAACTAAAACATTTTTTTTTACGTCAACTCGATTAACTCGATCGGTCCGCCTTTCCCACGTTACTCTCTCGCTCTCACCCTCGCCTAGTTTTTTCGCTTTGAACTTTTTTTTTTTACGTGCTACATCACACTTTGCAAGATACCAAAATCGAAAAAGTAAACTGTTACTTATTTCTCATAGTGAAGAGCAAATTGGAATAGATTTGATTGTCGATATTCCATTTTTTTTCCATTTGTCTCAAGTTTTTATGTTTTGCAATAATATTATTCAGCATGTCAAACATTTGAAAATAAATAGAAAGTCTATTTTTGCAATGAAAAATCCTATTGATAAAATTTTAAATGACAATAAGCTAAGGATGAAAGAAAGGAATACTTATTGCAAAATGGAATTTTATGGAATTGCCGTAGGGGGTTTTAATGGAAGTTTTAAATGGAATATTCGACTTTTTTGACGATTTTTAACAATATCACATCGAGATATATTTTATTACACTAGTGTAAATGAAAAAACGATCGGTCGGTGATAGATAGGCTGTATGCGTAGGGTCTCTCATAGGCAAAGGATAGGTATATGATGAAAATTACCCCAGGGACCAAATTAAAAGCGTTATTAGAGGACTGATGGTTCTAGCATATTGTTGTAGATGTTTAAGGCATTATCGAAGGCTTTTGTTGATTTCAACAGCAGCGATGAGCCTTCGAATTTCAGCACATAGATCACGAGAATGTCCATTATTTTATATTATTTTATACGATTATTTAATTTTTATTTTTTTATACAAAATGACAAGGCGATGAGCGAATGGAATACGTTTTTACATATATTTATACAATATTTCCTAGAAAATTAGACAATGACAGAGTAGAACTATTATTTTTTTAATGTTGTTGCTTTTGAGTGAGCGCAAATGGCTGGTTACCTTTCTTACTTCAATTTCAGTATCACCAATTACCTGATTTTTCCTTTTTTAATAAACGTCAGAAGAGTAAGATATCAAGTCGACAAGAGAATTATAATGGTTTTACGTTTAATATCATGACAATGTTTAATAGCGTCCTTTCATCGTCTCTCTGATAATCAACAGGGAATTTTCCATAAAAATATATGCAACCAACAATTATCGTGGAATTATAGTTTGTAATGACGAGGCATTTAAAAGAACGTTATAGTACTGTTACGATCTATATTTGCATAATATAATTTTAAAACTCCCATTGCATAACGAAATTAAATGAAATGAGATAAAATTATTATTTGTCGAGGGCGAGATGAAAGGACAGTGTTTTGTGAACAGCAGAGAAAGAATGATAAACGTGACAAAATACTCATGAATTATTTATAATTCCAATGTTGCTCTCTATCTCGCTATTAATAAAAAATCCAGACAATTTCTCTGTCGTTCATAATTTGTGTATAATTAATGATAATTTGTGAGATACAAGTTTTATAGTTGAATCGGAAGCTGTCCTGGATATTGTGCTATAATGAAAAGGGATATGTTTATGCGTCTCAAAATGTACTCACAGTGTTGTATGTTGGGAAAACAGGTGCAGCAGCTGCTGCGAAACAGCGTAGGCATCTGGGTCAGATTCGCGAGCACCCTTATCAAAGGGCTGGCGCTCTCTCGTGAATACAGAGATAACACAGTCGCGCCTTAATGCGGGAAAGGTTAGTTTTCTTTATCACAAGAATTTATACACCTACATTTTTTTCCCTCATACTCTTTTTCTTGTTGAGTATTTTACCATTGGAATTGCACTGTTTTCGCTTGCCAATGTATGGAGGAGGAGAGGCCCTTCTCAACTTCACGTTGAGGAAATTTTTCATCTGTTGTACCTGAACGTGTCAGTGAATCAGGGGACAAGTTAATTTAGGTTCTCATTTATATCTGTGGATATAAGGAGGACCTCATTATTATCGATATTACTGGAAGACACGCAGTATTACATTTCATGAGAAAATTTGCACATCACAGTTGCCCTATTTTTTCCCTCGTGGAAATCATACATTGGAAAGGCAAATACAGGGGTGAAAAATTATATGAACTTAAAATTAAATGATTACCAGTACCATGGTATTTTTGGTGGCTATGTTGAGGATAATTTGATGGAAATTTATCTGAATTCATTTTTTGGCGCAACTCCCCGCTCTTAGGTCTACGCAATTATTTCATTTATAGATAGGATAGGATGTATGAGATGAGGTCATTCGATTAGTTTTTTTTTTTTTAATTTTCCATGCCATCGTGGAGAAATTGTTTTCTACATTCGTCAATATATCTGGGGAGATAGCAACGCCGGTGTGCATCTCCCAACATTTTTAATTTAGAAGCACTGCCCAATCACAGAGTAAAAATGTGATGCTCGATTTATCCCCCTAGACTGTTTTGCTACTGGCATCATGCAAATTGGTTGTATCGAGTGGCAGTGTTGAGGAAAGGCAGAAAAATTAATTGTTTTGGTGCTTATGTATTGATTAAGATTTCAATCTTCCAGGATATCGTACACATTTACATTTGCATTTTGTTTCTTAAATTTTTTTTTTTTTTTATTATAATTTTATGTTTTTTTTTTGGCAACTTGTGCCTGTGGAACAACTTATTGACCTTCCATTTTTAATCTGTATATAAATTTATATACGTACTATTATTATTATATTATTTGCATAAATATTTATATGAAAGAATAAATGAAGAGAAACAAATAAATATCATGAAACAGATGATTTTTTTTTTGTTCTTGTGGAATTTTTCAAATAATTGCAGGGGTGGTAACGTGATGCGACGCGAAGGTTTTCACAATTGTTTATTGATTAATCGTTGATACCATCCCCTTGATTGGTGACACGTGTTGTGATAATCCATCGAATTCCATTTTCAGCTTACAGACCAGACGATTAAACAATAAATAAACGTTTTGTCGAACGTAATATGAATATTTGGGCGAAAAAAAAACACGCGGTAAAAATGTGCTGCTCAATGCTGGCCTGCCACCCTCTTTATTTTCACGTATTACCACTAACAAATAATCTCTTAACGTTTATTCTGATTAAAAAATATCAAATGATAATCCTTAATTTAATCATAGACGCAATATTCATCCATTTATCACCATTATGATCTCGGCACAAAGATAGCACCATTTTTTTATATAAATAATATTTAACTAACAAAAATGCTCCACATGGCCAAGTTGACACTAACGTTTATACACAATTTTTTTTCTCAATTCGATTAATTTAATACTGTTCAATTAATAATTGTAATACAGAGAAATTCGAAAGAAAAAAAAAATATGAAATAATTTATTGACGCTTAAATGCCTGGAACTGTATAATAAATCTGTCCTATACATGGCACGTTGCCGTATAACATGAGGTTCTGACACCCGCTTGCTGATGGGTCATTTTCATTAACTTTACCGAATTTATTAATATATGAAGGAAGAAAATTTAAAAGATAATACTCTGCATCAGATCTTTAATGTTTTAATTTAAACATTGTCTTTGTTTTTACCATGATATTAGTCACTTAGCACTGCTATTTATCTGGTCGCAGGTGCACACCCCCCTAAATTAATTAATTAATTAATAAGCACTGCCTCTAAAATCGGTGAAATACTTCGGTGTAACGATTTTTCAAATATCTCGCAGAATGGCAATGACTAATCTAACATTTCGATTATTGCACCATCCAGAAAATATTAAATCAATGATCTCGCAGTATGCATCCAATTATAAGCTGCATGTCTATAGACTATATAGACTATAGACTATACTCTCTTTCTTGTTATTGAGTTTATCCATTTTCTACCAAATCATTATTGAATTAATATTTAACAGTGATAAATTTTATTGATTTTTTTACTAGTCTCTTTGCCTGTCCTATGCGCGGGGAGGGTACACGAGCCATAATAAAAATTTTAATTGTGTAATCTATCGTTAAATTGTTTTAATGCAATTTTTCATTGACATTTTTTAATATTGGAAAGATGTAAAGAAAAATAGTTCTCCGTGTTGTACATGTTCATCTGTATACAAAATATATAAACTGCTTTTCACTAATAATTAAAATCATAAAATTGATCAAGTGTTGAGGCACTGCTTTCCATTCACATCATCATCAAGTTAATTATTATTAAAATAATTTTATGATATGAAATTATTGAATAATCGATGGTAAAAGCACTGCCCAAGACTAGAACGAGAAATTTAAGTGACAGTAATTTTAAAATTCAAAAAATTGTAAGGAAAAAAGTCATAATCAGATTACTAACAATACTGTTTTTTTTTTCTTTTTTTTTTTATCTTTCTTGTTAACCCTGGTTGTCCATGGCCATGTAGGCTTGGAGTGCTAACAATGGAATCCACTGGTCCCGTGCTAACACCTGGAAACTGTGGATTATCAATCAGCGATCCGCGTGTATGAATTTGAGTGAAATTCACTCAGAAAGTCGCAGAGCCGAGAGCCTTCGCCGTAAGCGCGTCACCAGCCCTATGTGTACGTCTCAAGCTTATCCATTCTCTGTATTCCCAACGAAGACAGTTTAACTTTAACACGATCATTATTATCATCCCTTCATTGCGCTTGCCTTTCGGTAAGACATAGTACTTATTACTGATGTGACAGCAACAATTAAATTCACCGTCACATTTCACCGTTGAATAAGTGTAGAAATTTCGATATTGCTTACTATTCTCTCTCAAGGGTGGGACATTAAATATTTCACTAATGTGTCATTGAGTGGGTGAGCAAGTCAAGGTCAAGGTGGTCGGGCGTGCTAATTACCTATTTTTGTTTATTTCTATTTCGTCAACTTCTACTTCGCACAGGGCAACATTGTGTGTCACAGTCTTCCCAATGCATTTTTCCAATTGAAGGAATTTTTGTTGCTGCATGATTAAATTAAACATTACACGCGAGAATATATTGTAATTGAGTAGTAGAGTGGTAAGGTCATGTGAGTTGAAGCCATACAAATTATTTTATAAATTTGATCTGATAAATCCTTGATAAATTTCAGGAGGAAATATAACGAGACCTTTTTTTTCTCGGAAATTCACTGAGTCGTACGAAAGTTCTTTAGTAAATTCACTTTAAATCATTGGTATTCGGCTCGAAATTACACTTATTTCGCTTAAATACTTCCGTAATTAATCAATTTATATTTTGTCGTGTACCGAGAGTGGACTATGCAATTAGGTGAAACATTTGAAGACACGTGCAATAACCTATCAGAGTTCTTCGGTACTATATAATCGTCGAGCGTTATTATTACCTTGTTATTATTGTTTTCCATAATGATTTTTCGTAGGATTAAAACGTAGGTGAGAGAGAGAATTACTTTAGATGAAGGAAAATTCATACACTATTGGAGAGAGTGAATTATGTTTTGTTGTATTGTAATGAACAAACTAGTTATCATCACATTTTTTCGATGAGGCTATGCAACAGGATTTATTGATTGTTATCACTTGGAAGTTTTTTTTTCTTTTTTCAGATAATTTTTTGAGAATTATTATTGTAAGTTATATATGTTGTATGTAGCTGTTGGAAAGAAGTTGCAGGAGTGATTGTGTGAGAGATTGGATTTACTTAATGTCGAATTAACCTTATAATAAAAAGCAAAAATAACGAAAAGAAAAAAAAAGGATGATAATAAACTCTCGTTAATTTTTGGATCTGCCATATATATATAAATTTAAGAATTTTTAGTGCTATCAATATAGCTAACTATCATTTGTCTATTTTATTCATTAATCACATGGATCATTGATGAATAATCGATGGTAGCTCGTCTTTCGTTGTATATAAATGATCCACAAAACAATTGTCAGCGTTATACTAGGATAAAGAATCATGAGTAATCTGCAATCTACTTAAGTTTATGACGAATATATGAGTGAATAATAATAGCGAGTTTATTTTATTATGGTGTAGATGATGGAGATTCGATAGATACCGTTATGACACTGATACTGTAAAATTCATGGAATGTACTACGGAAAATTTTTTGGGGGGAGGCAGCATTGATTTTATGTAGATATTACGTACTCTGAGATTCTATTTACATAACAATCATTAATTATTATAACCATTAAATGTCTCATTTTTATGTCAAGGGCATAAAGTCCCATATATCGCAGGATTAGATGCCAAGAGATCTGCAATGTTCAACCTTGATCCAAGATCTGATTAAGTGAAAATCGTTAATAGAAATGAATATATATGCAGATGGTTTCTACATAGATCTATTAGAATTAATTAATTATTATGATTAATATGAGAGATAATCGTGGCAGATGAATTGACTAATGAAAATAAAAATTCAATTACATTTTACCGAACTCAACGATATCATGTGAATCGACGATTTGAAAAGCTTTATTTATGCCAAACCAAATAGATTCTGGAAATTTGATAATCATTTTCATATCAATTATGGAAAATTTAGGGTGGAAATTTTGTGTATCGACTGCTTGGAAAGATTGTATTCAGTTTACAATACATTGGACAAGCATGTATTACAGAGATAAATTTATCGTCGAAAGCCAAAAGTTTGCAAACACTATTGATGAATTTTTGTCCATCAGATAAAGCAATAGAGACATATTTTTAATACACGTACAGTTGGATTGAAATCAACATGTATAGATTAAATAAATTGGATAAATGAACAATTATAAAATTCTCAAGCCTTTTGATTGAGTTAATTCCCTCCTATTAGTCCCAACCCCATTATAAATGACCATGTTGAAGGTTTTGCACAGACGCTGGCAATCACAGACACCCCCATTATGTGTGGCGCCCTCCCTCTCTTGGGGTGCAGTACTATGATGCCGCTGGGCCCGCTGGGGTCACTCAAATCCCCACAGAACTGAGCCTCTACTTTAGTCAATCCTCTTTGGTAGCCACTTTCAGTGACACTTTCCAATTCATGCTTTTTTTTTTTTACTAACGAAATACATAACTACAGCTGAATTGTGAAGGTACAGGCAATTTGCAGTTGACGTCCCTGAGTAAAAGATAAATGCAATTAATTAACCAGAAAAATGGGAGAATAACAATTAAGATTCAATTCAACAGGTTAAATAAACGTGGTTTAACCCGCAAGCAATGCCCTAATGTTAACTGATGTTGATACGAGTATGTAAAATCAACAAGTTGTAATTATTGCCTGCTAATTTTGATTTTTAACCTCTGTTCATCACAACAGAAGCCAACGTCAAGGAAGTTTCTTTGCATGGCTCACTACTAAACATGAATTTTCATTTATGCCCCAATGACCTATAATTGCTCATGAATTCTGACATTTCTAGATAATTTTGCTGTTTATGTGCATGATGATGATGATGATGATGATGATGATGATGATGATGATGATGATTGAGGTGGATTTCTCAGGGTTCCTCAACCAATACTAGTTGTCCAGTACATTAAATTGCACACAGGGGCACAAGAAAAACTGAATTACGTCTAGGAAACATGTCCAGATGTTACGTAGCACAATTAGATGGATGACAGGTTTATCAAGCAACATGGAGCAAAATAAATCGACAAGTACTGTTGAGAGCAGTGCTAGTACCAGCGAAGTACCAGTGACACCAGATGCCATCGAGGTATTTTCTCTCCCTCAATATCTTTTATTTTAATTATTGTTGACTATGAATATACCTCTTTAAAATAGAATGAGTGAATCGAATGAGATATAATGGAAATTGTATTCCCCAATTGTTGCAGGTCGATAATTCCCAAACAATATTACTAAAGATAGCGACTCTATATGCTGAACGGCTTATGAATGACATCTGCTTAGTGGTGGATGGAGTTGAATATCCGGCACATCGATTGATTCTCTGTGCATCGAGTGATGTATTTCAGGTAGATGAGCACATTTATAAACATGATGTAATTTTTTTCCAAATGCTTTCCATGAAATTTCCACCATTCCCCACATTTGAAGATTTTCATTAGAAAATTAATGGAAAAATTGTTTTATTAGGTTATGCTGATGTCCCCCCAATGGTCAGAATCCCAGGAATCCCGAGTAACCCTGCAAGAGACTCCCCAATGCGTGCCCCTGTTCAGTGAATTCTTGCGTTACTTTTACACTGGTCAAATCCGAATAAGCTATGAAGTGGTTTTGCCAATCCTCTCACTCGCCGATAAATACAACGTCCGTGACTTGATCAGCCTTTGCCTTGAGTACATGCAGAATCACATCGCAGTGGCAGCCATCCACGGTACTCTAGTCTCCTGGCTGGAGTACACATCGAACTGTGGCCACCAGGATATCACCCAGACATGTCAGAATTTCATAAAATGGAATATCGAATTGGTAGCCAGAACCGCAGACTTTGGCAATTTCGAGCTGGATGTACTGGTAACACTTCTCCACCAGAGTGATCTCGTTATCAAAGACGAGATGACCTTGTACAGATGCCTGGAGGACTGGTTGAATCACCAGGCAAATCGCCTCAAGACTCAGCTGACATTAACAGAATTCGAGTCAACATTGAAGCAACTTGTCGTTGCTGTGATGACTCCAGTGAGATTTCCAATGATGTCCCCTAGACAATTGGCTGAGCTTCTGCTGTCACCGCTGACTAAAAAGTATAAGGAGTTCTTTGTTGAAAGAATGGCCATTGGCATGGCCTTCCATTCTGGTCATCACGAAAGAGTGCGTGAAGTAATGAGAACTGAGGACGATGGGGCGTTGCTCTTTGAGCCTAGATTGTACATAGTCGACACCTGCAGCTCACTCCTCACCATCGAGAATTTTCACAGCCTTCCATCCTATCATACCAGAACATTGGTGTTTTCCAGTCATTCATTCCTTGCTGAATATGCTGGTGATCGTGCATGCGAATGGGTCGTTGACATTTATCCGAAGGGTGTCTGGTTCAAGAAGTTCTTTCTCATTGTTTGGCATGGGACTGTTGAGATGCCTGAGCACGTCATCAGGTCTGTTAGGCTGTCATTGACGTGCAAGGAACCGCCAATCGATCGTCATGAAGACATGAGGGTCAAAATTGGTGTGCTTATTTATGGCTTGCAGGATGGAGTCGAGCATATTGCTAGAGCCACTGAAATCATTCACCGATTTAATAAAAAGGATAGGGTCCTTAACCTCGATGATTTACTGCCATTTGAAGAACTCAATCCTCAGCAAGAAGTCGTGCATAATGTTAATCCTATTTCACCGTTTCTTGTGGGGGCGAATAAGGATATGCTCAAGCTGCATATTGTTATTTCTCCAGCCAATTAAAGCGCTTGAACAAGTGGTGAAATGCAATGATTACTTTTTTTCGTTATTTTAATAAAAAGGAGCGAAACTGAGAACACATAAGCTCACATTTTTTTTTGTAGCTGGGAACGTTTCCAACCAAAAGTTCTTTTGTATTTTTAATTTGAGTGACTTGCTATCGATTATCGATATGACTCGATATTTGTCCGATGAAGAAAATCCATTTATGATTTACTTCAACTGATAATTGGGCATCTTTCTTTTCATTTTTTATTTCCGCTAGTTTTTTTAAACGCCGATATGGATACCGATCATGGATGTTTTTCATCGTTGTACTGGCATATATCTGCAGCACATATTTATTATTTGGCGTTGTGCTGAATGTTGGGGATTTTTAGTACTCCGTCAATAGATTCTTTTGTTAATCGTTAATTTGTAAGATTAGAATGAATTGAGAGTGAAAAAATTTATTGATAATGGTAATTGTAATTTATGCAATGTCAAGAGAGATATTTTCAGAAAATACATGTCAAGTGAAGTAAAAAAGAGTTAACTCTTCTTATTTTAGCAGATGGCAGCTCCTTTAAATAAAAATTATTTCTTTTCAGCCGCAATTGAATTTATTACTCAAATTGTGATTTAAATTTACATTAAAGATTGATAACATTTTTTTATACAAGAGGAAGCTTGAAAGTAGATTGTCTTTTAAAAAATCAGACATGAACTTATTTAATTATAATTATTTAATTTTCACTTTTACTGCGATTTACGGATGGGATGGATGGGGTGTATCATATGAGATAAATCCGGTGGATTTTTCTCGAAGAAACTAATCTCCTTCATTCCTCCTGCAGATATTTCCCAGAGATCCGGATGATTCACCTTGAAATCGTTGTACCACATTTCTACATGCGGCCACGGCGACAACGAGAATCCGATAGCCTCTAGACACAATGTTGCAGTGTTGAGTGGAAAATCGGCGATGGTCAGATGATCTGAAGATGAAGTCGAGGAAAATTTCTAGTAGAGATATTATTTGAAATAAAAAAAAAAAAATTGTAACTGACTGCTGCGTACCTCCAGCTGCGTATTTGGACTTTAATTTATCCAAATATGTATCGAAAATGTCAAGAGACATTTTCACTTTCTTGAGTCCAACGGGAGTTCTCTCATAGGCGAAGAATATCGGCGCCATCTAAAGAAGACTTATTGATTAATAATCAATTCATGGAAAGTCAATGGAAAATCAATCATGTGTCATTTTCTCCAATGTTTAACAGGGAAATTGAAGAGGTATCTTGTGAAGGCAAGACAAAGTTTTCCACATTTAATGGTTAGTTTTTACATACTTACAACATATTCCGATATATTTCGATAATACATGGCAATATTGAAAGACAATCGATGATTAACGATAGCGCGTGCCTCCGGTTCCTTAGGGTATAGTTTTCCAAAATTATCGTATTTGTCTCCGAGATACTGGAGAATGGCATTGCTCTCGCCCATAATTAAATTGCCGTCGATAAGCGTTGGAATTTCTTTTTGCGGGTTTAACTGGGCGTACTCTGGAGTCATGTGTTCCCCTTTTACAAAATCCACGTCAATAAGTTGGTAGTTAATGCTGAGGGCCTTGAGGGCCTGACGACAGGCCAGAGATGGGGGACCATCCGAGACAGCGTAGAGTTTCATCGCGGGATATGTGCCAACACTTTGCCGTTTATTGGAATACTGATACCCTTTTTCCAAGCTATATATGCTATATAAGCTATATATATTAAGCCATTCACTTGTTATAATACGAAAGTTCCGTCTTGATGTCCGCGACCTACATGGGTATTATACACGGGGGGAAAAAATCCGTGATTATATTTGAAAGAATCACGGAATTTAGCCTTTTAAAGTTTACCATGAGCCATATTAACTACTACAATACTCGATAATTGACAGTAATGCCTAATGAATTTGGGTGTGTACCAGGTGTTTCATTTATGTTGGTTTTATTTAAAGACTTGAAAGACTTTTGTAATTAATAGTTATTATGAATTATCTACGTTTCATAGGTGAAACTGTATCAACTGTTGCCTAATGTTGCAATAAATGGCCTCTCCCTCGTAGGACAGGGAAAATTATCAAGGGCAGGATCAAGTTCATCCCAGGAACGAGTCTTGCTGCTGACAGGTTCTAGTAAATCTCTCCAAACGGAAAATGCAGCTTAAAATACATAATAGTACATTGTGAAGATGTAGAGATTTAATAAATCATTAAATTTTTGAGCGTAAATAGTCAATGAAAATACTCACTTCGTGCATTTGCAATTTGACTGAGATGAAAGCAATCAGCTGAAAGATATCGAAAATCTGTTTTTCCATCTGGCAATGTTGGGAACTGGACATTCGTTGTGAATGGTTGAATAACAACAGCGAAGTCTTTAGTCTGGAATTCGGAATAGGTGCCGATCTCTTCATCTAAAGCTATCCATCTAGCAATGCGACAAAGGTTAACATCAATTCGAGTATTACCATGGTATAATTTCGGTCAAGTAAATACAAGGGCGCACAGCTGTGTAGTAGCCAATATTTTCCTTCGGACGATAAAATCGTAAGATGTGATCTCATAAGGAAAACTTAATGAATACCTTCGATTTATCTCGTAGAACTCTTCTCTCCGATGTCTGAAGGTTAACCCAAACATGCAAGAGCATTCAAAATCTGTTGTAATCCGACAGAGTTTGGATCGCCCTCTCATTTCCACTAGGGTCTGCATGTGTGGAGGTGGCACTATTGAAACTAGAGTACGAGGTAAATTGTCCCTGAGAAGTCGAAGGGTTGTCATCATATCGGCCTTGTGATTATCGAGGGAGGCCCAGGCTGAAGGAATCCAGCACATGTTGGAGCAGAAATCATTGGCGCCAATGAAAATCGTCACCAGCTGAAAATTTAGTATAATTCTTTTTTGTCCAATACGAATGGACTGTATTTCATATTGCCCATTCACTCACTTTCCAATGGTTCAGCAGATCAACTCGAGGATCATTCCTCATTCGTTTGATGAGGCATTGTGCCATGTATGGCAAGTCTCTTGACATCGATATACTTTCAGCTACGTTGAATTGAGACGCAGGATGATGACTCCACGCATCTCCCGTTGCAAATCCGAACAGATTCTTGTTGAATTCCTCATGACAAATTCAAAGTTAACTTATTAGTCAACTGAGAATAATAATAATAATAATAATAATATCATATTCTAGTTATTGGATCTAATGGGACTTTGTGATTGAAATTTCAAGTACCTTGAGGATATTGGCAAGAGTCAATGTATCTCGCCATGTGCCTTGACCCCCTCCGAAGGCCGAACTTCCCCGATTTTCGATAAACATATCCAAAAATTTTGTCGCATATATTCCGAAGCCAGCAGTCAGAGAATCCCCCATCGCACCAATCACATCGATATCCCCAGGTCGTAATTTATTCACTGAAGTCGGCACTGTTGTTGATCTGCCAGCTGCGGTGGAATTACAATTGGTCAATTATCAAATTTTGTATCCACTCCACTTTAATTAATTTTTTCTTTAATTACCTGTTGTGTTGCAGGGAAATGGGAAGCTATCGGGGATTCGATACTGGGTGTTGTCACGCTCTTTGGCATCTCTCAATAATCTTGCTTGTGCAAAATTAGCATTACCTGTTAAAATCTTAGGATAAATGTAAATGGAAAAAAGATAATGTAATATGCCCTGAAAAAATATATTAGGGTGGTGCCGTTGTCCCTATTACTCTTGTTACCTATTAGTCTTGAGCCAAAATCCTTAAAAATTCGTAGTAGCTGAATGTTTGCAGGGCTATCAAGAGCCGTCCTTTGACAATTTGACGAGGAAATAAATTGGATAATACTTATCAGGACCAAGGACATTTTCATCAATTTCCACCGATTCCACATAACTCAGTCCGTGGGTCAACTGGACGATGGTGTTGATCACTCCAAACTAAAAGCCTCAAGTCTCAAACACGGTGATATCAAACGGATGGTGAACGAGAACAAGAAAAGAAGAGTAAAAGAACCTTGAAGTGCAAGGTCAGCCAGTGCATTCGCCTGTGCCATTGTATCCCAATTCGGCACTGACATGAGGGCACCTTTATGTCTAGTAAAAATGTTTATTAATTTCCATTAGAATAGGAGTTTCCCGTAATACATGTTTTTCCTCTGAAATTTTTCCTTTGAAATCATCCAGGGAGTTGTGAGGGAATGATGTGGATATTTGATGTGGTAATTAATGCAAATATTATCGTCCTTGTGAGCTGAATGGATATGAGGGTTCACTCATCTTATTCTCAAAGCGCCTGTGGCCAGACATTTTTTCCTGCCACTACCCATATTAATTGATTTTCATTACATTCGCATATTACTATCGAAACATCATATTTTATTCATACTCGATCAATGTCTGCTACAATATATTTATTTGGTCAAATTAAGCATTGATTCAACTCCTAGCTCTTCATAACATTACGATAAAAACATTAAATTCAGTTTTACAAAGGCTATTGAACAGAATGTACTCATTTGCGCGATTAATCGTGAACATTATAGTGTATATAATTTCTATCCAGTATTACCTTGAATTTCTCACTGGAAATGAGTTAATCGATTTTATCATTACCGGAGAATACTGGTTATTCAGTACATTTATCAAGTACATTTTACATATAATAATATCAATTTCTAATTTGGTAGAACTGAAATGTTTTAAACCCTGTCTCATAGATAATAACATCCAATATTTCTATGATGAATGCCCATTTGATTTTCAATGCTCGTTCCAACACGCGAATGAATGCTTTCTTTCCTTTCTCCAAAGTTTCGATGGCTTGGAGCACTCATCGGCGATTATATTTAGTCACCGAACTCTGCCCGATGGCGAACGCAGATGCGATTTAATGTAACCAGTTCGATAATCAATTACATCGCGCGAGATTCCACCTGACAGACCGTGCCGATGTCTTCGGCTCCATCTGAAATCAATCATCACCCTATTTACATGATTTTCTATAAGCCTTTCTATAATCATCGCCACATTCAATTGACACATTAATTTTAATCAAAAATTTTCAACGACTGGAATTAAATTATTTGGCATGCCGAGAGAAATCCTTTTGTGTAGCAAAATGATCCGTCTTTGATCTGTGATATCTTTCAACTGAATGATCCGATTGATACGATTATTTTTTTCTCACTTTACAAAACGCTTGAAAATGGGGAAAAAAAGTCGCCGATTTTCATTCGGCTCATGTCAAGATATCGGCGATAGAAGACTGCCCTACATTTGTTCAGCAGCTTTTCATTTCAGTTTGCATAATCTAAAGTAAAAATCAATGGAGAGTTTTTTTTAATGAAAATATAATGGGTAGATTACCATCGATGAAAAGAAAACATCGAATATCGATTCACATACATTCATGATGCTTCATTCCATAATTATATATTGTAGCACATACAGAATATAATAATTAAATTGAGTAATAAAAAGTTATTGAATGTTCATATCACTACGTAATTACCAATGCATATGTAAAAAAAGATTTTATCTCAATATTCGTCGTTTAAGTAAGTCGTTAATGAGAGTAACTATCCCTATAATTTTCGTAATTATCAGAGTGTTTAGGGGGAAATTTTATTATCATTACGGGAGTACGCTACGCTCTAGTCTATACAGGGCGAGAAGGAAGCCATCTTCTAGTTTATGAATTTTTACATAATTCATACTAATTAATTATGGAATTTTGAGAATTTTCAGCGCGACTACAGACTATATTAACGGTTATAGTTATTTATTTAAGGTATGAGTGTTTCGGGACATGGTAAGCATTGTTAAAGTTCATTACACAAGTTACACAAGAAATTAAAAAATTTCCATTGTCCTTTGTCCTTTTCGAGACCCTGATTTTTTTATATAAATTCAGATAAAACTCGCGTCAATGTAGTGATAAATTTATCCACCTGAAATTATTCTCCTCATGTATTGTTCGATTACCCTGACTGGTTTTCTAAATGGGCCATACCTTGTACAGTGTGTGGCACGTTGTTGGAGCGATGATGGTTGTTGGTAGTGGTTGAGGTTGAGGTTGAGGTTGAGGTTGAGGTTGAAATGGGAGCAGCATGTAGCGGGGTTTCAGAGGATGAGGAGTTGTTATGACGAAGGAGTGAATTATTCTGGTTGTTTGCGGAATTGGGAAGGAGGGTTTGTCCATCACCATGGCTAGACGTTACTCCGTAGTTCCGACGAAAGGGACGCTGCTGGAACGATAGTCTTCGACTCCTATTGACACCAACCCCGGTGCAGGTGTACTGCTGTGGACTTGTACTGCATCAACCCCATTTTATTCATCTTTAGCTTTTTTCACTCCTAACTCTTTCACTAATCCAATTCTTTCAATCGTCACGTCAATTTATCTCATTATCAAATTATCAATGTCTAATTGTCACGGTCACCTCGCATATTTAAATTTCTATACGAGTGGCTACAGTGACCACCAATCATCAAAACATTACAAAGGGGAAAATTACACTTGATATGAAATTTATGTTCGATTCATTATGAAACCTTGCCATTTAGCCCCTGTAGCCACCTCAAATACACCACTTCTCCAATATGGAGTCATGCAAAAAGAAAGATGAAAGAAGTATAAAGAATAGGAAGAAATCAAATGAAGCCACATGCAGATACCGTAAGCAGTGCGCATCCCTTGAACAATGACATTAATATGATCGATTTTGTTGTTCTCATATTTATAAAACATGCGGCCATTTATTATTGACGTTATTCTTTCTCTCCACTTATGCACATGTTACAAACGATTCACCTCGGACTAATTTCATTGTAATTATTCAAAGTACAATATCCAACTACAATGCATTGACGCGCAGATAGATGAAAGGAAGAAAGGAAGAAAGAAAGAAAAAATGAAAGAAGATAATGGGGCAGGCTCTCTCTGCCTCTCTCTCTCGGGAGAAGTCATCTCGAAAAATTTCGATGCAGGATTGATTGTTCATCAGCCGAAACGGTGAATTGTCGGTATCATTGGCAAGGGAAGATCATAGGCCATGTATTTTCTTACCTTGTACTGTGACTCATGATGACTATGTTTCTGTAACAGCATATAATGGATCCTGATTGTTGGGAAGCGAGTTCAGGGAGTGTTGAAGTCGAGTTTTTCATACGATTATTTTTTTGGGGTGATGAGCACTTGCTAATTGCCCAAATTTTTGCGATGAGTTTTTTTTTTGTTGAGAGGAGACTATTGTCTGAGTATTCAGCTTTAAACATCACACTCATAGAAAATTGAAATTTTGGGATTTAAGAGTAGGTACATTGCAGTACATTGAAATGAAATTAGGAAAGCTTAAAATAACTATTTGTCTTGTAAAAGGTTAGACGCCCAACTGATCAAAACAATTGTTCATTGGTTTCTTGTGGGCTAATCCTTCAATAAAAAAAAAAAAGCTATCTGCATATGGATTGGTTCCTGCACTATCTAAATTCAATGTTATCTATGGCATGATAAGTCTCGTAAGTTGACACACTGAAAGCTCTGTGGGGTATGCGTGATTTATTTTCATTTTAACGTGAGTAATTTATCATATGTATTGTGGAGATTATTGAAATAACGAGTGATTAATAATTATTAAAAATTGATGGTGTTTGCAGCAGTGTGCGCTGATAATTCTTCCCTCATAACTTTTTATTCGATATTCCTCAGAATTATTTTCCCATTCATTGAGATGGATACCTTTAACTCATAATAAGAGTGTCAGAGATGACGTTTGAAGAGATAAGAGTAATTCAAGTTCATTACATAGCTGAGTTAATATTTTTCAAGCAAACGATTTACTACTGATCAGTGAAAGACTACGCGCTGCCTCTAATTCTTGGTGCAAAGTAAAATATAAATAAATTAAGAAAATAAATTACGAATCAAGAGTAATTAATTTATCAACGATATAACTTTTCGATTTTTTTTGTCTTGCAATAGTCATAGAAATAGAGAATAAGAAGTAATTGAAAAATTCTAAAGGTCAGTTAATGGCTCATTTGGTTGTTTTTTTCTCTTCCCAAAAATAATTAAAAAAAAAAAAAACTAAAAGCTAAATTGAATGAATCTCAATAAATTGATGTACTCGATGGTTTTATCCTTTGTTATTTTTTTGTTTTTGCCCTATTAAGTAGCTAAAACTGCATACCACAATACTGATGTAACTAATTTTTGTAATGCATACCGAAGTAGCCGGGTGATGTAGTCAGGCCAGTTGTCGGGAAACATAACGAGGAAAAAACCAACGGCGATTAATATCATACCGGCTAGTTTCATTCCTACAAAGTGGGCACCGTACAGAACTACATCGAGGGCTGAAAATACAATAAAACAAAATTATTCATAAAATGAAATAAACTATGTAATTATTAGTTGACTAACCGGCGGACACAGGTACAGCTGTAATGAGCCCCAGTGTAATGAACAAGTCGTATGTCAAGGCTACACTGAAATTACCCACCATATTCGCCACTAAAATTCGAAATAATTGAATAAAATTTTGTTGTCAGCATTGAACTGAGCAGAAAATTATGTACCTAGATGAAGTATACTCCCAGATAATAAAGCTGCCCAGGGTAATTTTGCCCAGTGGAGGCTCTCAGCACCGGAAAAATAAAGGGCCAGGCAGACTGGCCACAATAATGCAGCATTGCAAAGACCAATTAGAGAGAAGAATAGAGATACTTGACCGAACGTCGTCTCTCCGATAACTTTTTTGAACAGCACCTATAATCAAGGGAATGTTTATCTTTTGTACATCCAGTGTACATCCGGAATTGAATTAATTGAATTTGGTAGAAAAATACACCCTTGGAGGAATTTTTTCTTATATACACTCAGTAGTACTGATTTGTTGTACCTTGTATACTGCTGAACCTGCAGCAGCCGATGCAGCTAGGACAACACCTCCGAGAGTTGGACTACCCGTTATTCCATCCATATACGCCAGTAGAGCAATACCCGTATCGCATAAAATCACAGCAACAATCTAGTCGTAATATTATAAAAACATATATGTCTCTCTTGTAGCGTGCAATTTATTTATTTTTCAATGAAAAAATATATAAAATAATGCAAAAATTGAAGCAATGTTGTCGCACTTGTGCTACTGATTCAATTGTAAATTAGTCGTCAATAATTGACTTGACTAACTCACCCTGACTCCAACAAATTGTTCATGAAGTATAACCCAGGATAGAAGATAAACACATGATACATTAGTGGCAAATAATGCCATAACATCTGTAGCTAGTAGTATCCGTAAGGAATGGATGTACATGTAATTAGTGGCGACCCACAGGACGCAGAATAGACTGCATCTAGTTAAAAATCGTCCACCAGTGAAACCCTTGTCTCGAAATCCTCGCAAGCTCTCGGCAATGATTTCAGTTGGATTTGAGCACTTTGTTTTGACAATTCTACAGATAAAGTAAATAGGAAAATAGAGAACTGCAAAATTCGTGCAGAACCACGTGGTGAAAAATGGTGCATTATAGGGGAGAATAATCTGGAAGTAGAATATAAAATATTAATTATTCACCGTAGACATGGCTAGCTCACAGAATCAGAGCACTCACCGGTTGATGATGTAGTCCACTTTCTGACGAATTTATGGATGCCGAATGAGTTGTTATTTCTGGCTTATAGTAATATAAATATTTCATACAGTGGGTTGCACCTACCCAAGAGGCAGTCACGCAAATTGTTACGCATACACCGAAGTAAATCTACAAATTAATTTTATAAAATTAATAAGTATACTGAAATGTTGTAGCAGGCGAGAAATGACGAGAAAAAAAAGTTTCATTACTTTCTTGGCTGACTCAGCGCAGCAGGAATTGTAGCATCGTGATAACGACTGCCTTCGTGTTTGATAAGAAACCGCAGGTCGAGTGGAGCTAACGCACGGGGGATTGTGGCCTTGAGCCCCGCCTGAACCTGGACCACCCCCGCTTCCAGTACAACTAGCCCCTGTATCGAGGGACCTGCAGCTTGATGCTGAATCACCGCATCCAGGGACAACGCTGCAACCCTGTTGCTCGCATCCCCCTGATATGAAATATAATATAACAAATAAATAATAATAATAATAATATTTCAATAGACTACTCTTATATTTTCCATTGAATTTTTTCATTCTAGTCCCTTCACCTGAATTATCTTGTCCTCCAGAGAGAGAGCTAGAGAATGGTCCATGTTCATTGCGCTCATCACTGAGGATGATACTTGGTGCACGTGATCGACGTGGATGAAATATCGTCGGTAATTCGGCAACACCTCCACTGCCCATATTTTCACATGCAATCGGATAGTCTAATGCCCGAGCATTCAATAAATTTCACATTCTAAAATCCATTAGGAGACCATCAAAATAAAATTCCAAAAAACATATAAAGGCAGAGTATCTTTAGCCGCACCATCATTATCACCACGATTTATCCATTATTTACTGTGTCCTCCAAACCTTCACCGACCCTGGAACGAAAAACTGACCCAGTTGTTGGAAATTGAAAGCTTTAGGAGCTTGACCCTGACGCACTCGATTCTCTCATTACCCTCAGCTTACCATTGGTTTTTTCACAAGTGGATAATTTTGATATAGCACTATTCTTACAATTAGAGGGGTATTTTAATATCGAGGGATAATCCATTGGGAATTTTTTGGAAAAACTCGCTCACACGATGAAATTCATCACCATGTAAAATCATCACACTGACTGATACCTTCAGCTGTGAAAGCCCTGGTGTACACCATTGATTACTTGGGTGATAGAGCTCCTTTTATGCACCATGCGCATGTGCTCACAACGAACAATATACATATATATAATATACAAGTATTATTTCACAACGAGCTATCAAAATATTTATCTTCATCGGGTGATTTCACTATCCATTAATTCTCCTACTGAGTTAATAATAATTTATAATAATTGAAGAGATTATTAGAGCATCAAATCCCACTGATCAACCTTTCTAGTTTTCAGACGTGGATGGTGCTATGAATGATTGATGTCTATTAACATTGGCACACTCTGTCAAGTTGAATGGACATAAACCTCTTGGCTTTATCCACCGGCTTACTCTGATTAGCCACTTACATTTAGGTACGCTCCGAGATTGACAAAATCAATCCTTTAAATGCAAAATTTACTTATTTATTATTTATCTATCGTTCATATATATATTTTTTAATTCATTATATTTATCTATCATTTGATTACAGAGAGTGTTGCGTATTGGGTATAAATAAATCGAGACTACAAGCTTTTCTGGAAAAATATTTATTTTCTGAAAAACGAGAATTCGATTAAAACTTTGTAAATTCGATTATTTTTTCATTTTTCTGGCGAATGGCAATGATTTGCTAATGTTTCTGAAGATGTTAGTAGTGTCATTAGCGAATAGAGTTATCCAACTGATGCATTAAAAAAAAATCATACAAGGTATAAAATGAATTGTTAACATATAAAAAAGTTTTCACATAGTTTCCACAAGTCGATTCGAACTAACAATTTCAAAGTCATCTACCATCGATCGACTAGAGTATATATATTTTAATTTAACGAGACAATCACCAAATTCCCACTTGTTTCGACAGTAAATTAACCAAAAGAAATTACTCGTGACTTAAAATTAATGTTGGTCAACTACTGAATTATCACAGAATAACATAAGTTTTTTTTTTAATTTTCAAGAAAGTACACGATTGGAGGTGTCTATTCCCAGAAAATAATTTCATTATTTCGTCAATGAGTTAATACTCGAGACAGTATGAATAACAGAACATAGAGGGGACAATGAATCCACAATGCCCGGAACTTGAGAGGTTTCGAATTTAATTAATTGAAACTTATGTATCAGCTATAGATTAAATTGAAGTTGAGTAAGATTAAAATAAGGCCAAGGAGTAGAAGAGAAGTTCTTATCCTTCACTGCTTATTATAGTTTTACGTCTAATTATTGTAAAATAATCTTAACGAAAAATCGTCTGAACGACACGGTAATACATATTGTGCTTTTGTCTCACCAATCATAATTACTGATTTGCTTCAGCCACCACTATTTTCTCTCACCAGGTACAAAATATTTAACACATATATACATCTATATACATCAATATAATACATACTAACGCTGTACTCTCATCGGGTTTTACAAAAAGTTACTCTGGAATTTCCTTCGAATTCTTGTTTCACCAAATGATTTAGTTTTATTTCTTCCTTTTTCGCATCAACGAGGCAATTATTTACAGTTCAGTTGTATAATACGTAAGTGAACTACTGAGTAATAGTATTTCACAGAAAAAAATCTAATGGGGATAATAATAAATAATTAGATACATTGTCCATATTAATGAAATTAATAATTAATTGAGACCAATTTTTAATCCCTAGATTTAATTACATATGTATTGTTTCCACTTGTTTCAACTTGAAATTTATCCATAACACTCATCATGAATCCCTCATCCCCCATCCAATAAATTCTATGCAATGTAATTGAATGCTATTTAAAATCCAAATTAAATAAGACCATTAATGAATTTCAATAGAGTTTCCTGTTTGTCTCTGAGTATTTCGCTTCGCACAAATATGCAACCGGGTCAATGTGTATTTAACTTTTTCCCCTAGATAACAAAATAGAAATTAATGGATTTCAGCTTGATTTTATGATTAGTTTTCGTCGAGTTACGTAATAATTAAAATTTCTGTAGATATTTTGGTTTACATTTTAGTCTTATTTATTTTGATGGATGAGCGATGAAATATCACAACTGCCACGAAGGAAAGATCATTTTTCAAATTAATTTACAACTGATATAATGTGTCTGTACATGATAATTTCATTATGTCCTGAGCAGTATTAATATTTTTTTCATGCAATGGTGTGATCACTCAGGATAATTGAGAAATGCCGATCGCTGGCATTCAAAGGCACGTATTGTTATTTCCAAATAATTATTATTTATTATACGATTTCACATGTAATGGGTTAATTGATGAGGGATGTCATGCTATTATGCCAGTTGCAGTTTGTCCTTAATTTGTATAAAATTTAAATTTTCTTGCATTTAATCGCCTTTCGATAATCTAAGTACAACATATTAACATGTTAAGCTCACCGGGACCCGTCCGATGGAATATATGGGTTCGTGTCAATAATGAGCTCTAGTTTCAAAATGTGGTCTTCACTGTCTTTTTTTTTGCGAAACACTAGGCATTGTGATTCGATAAATTGAGAGGAGCAGGTTAATGTAGTAGGAAAAATAGCTATTCTAGATTTTGAATCACCTGTGATACAGATTCTCATTGATGAATGTAATGAGAGTTATTTTCGACAATCAATATCGTTTACAGAAACGTTTTTATGCTGTACCTTACGGCCCTGTCGCTTAGAAGATTTCCTCGATGATTTGGATGGTGTTTCCTGCAGAGAATTGTTTGTTCCCAATCTGAACCTTACTGGCATCTTTGAATCTAAAGTTTCTGCAAAATGACATTAAACAAAGATTAACATAAGATTCATTAATTTAAAAAAAAAATCGTCGTCAATTCATGAGAGGGATTTGTCGATTTGACATGAAATACCATTGAATCATATATTTTTCCAGATTCATACCTTCGGAATCAGATAGATCTGTGACTGTTCTGTGTACTACAGTGACTCGTCGAATTTCCTTTTGGCTCGCTGTAAAATTAAATGAATCGTTTAACTGTAAACTGCCTCCTATGATTCAATTTTATACTCACATTTGTCATTAACTTTTCCCAGATGTCTCTGAATGACCTTGGCATTATTTTTAGCAACTCTGAAAATAAAGAGACCTCATTGAACAATTATCCCTTTTAATTAGTAAATTACAGAATCACCAATGAGTATCAATATTGTGGTGTTAAAATTAATTATTATATTGTATATATATTTGATATTTGATAATATAAAAAATAATGTCAACATACTCATTAACAACTCCCTTAAAGGCAGACTGCAGTAGCCTGGCAGACTGAATGGGTACCGTCCTATTCAATCTCTCCGCCCTCCTCCTGCTTAACTCAGTTCTCAAATCCGCCTCCTCGTCCACCACCCCCTCAACAGCCAGCACCTCACCCTCTTCTAGGGTAGGACTCATCTCCTTTTTCTTCTTGCACTTCTTGTCCTTGATGATCCGCCCAGTGAGAACAGCATCCTTCATCTTGCCCACCTGATAGATCTCTTTATCCTTTTTCTTCTTTTTCTTGACTTTCCCCCTTTCCACTTTTAATGGAGCTACGAGTACAGGAGAATTTGATTCGTCACTGAGCACTGGCTCCAGATCGAAATCATAATCCTCATGAAGAGACAGCTCTTCGTCAAGGATCTCCTGGTGTTCCTCGGCCATCTCCTTGGTCTTTCTCTTCGGTGAATTCGCCTGAGCATTTCCAGTTTCCTTCATCTCCTCTTTTTTACTCAATTTGATCTTCTTATTGGCGGTTATGGGATCGATGGGTCTTGTGGACTCGAACTTTCTTCTCCTCGCCTCCAGGACAGAATTATTGGATACTTCAATGATCTCTTTTATAGGCTTCTTCTTAGAGCCCTCCGGTGGGCTCTGGACATTTTTTCTGATTGGAGAATTCTCTTTTCTGTGGAGTGAGGAGTCTTCAGGGGTGAGAGACCGTCTCTTTCGATCTCTTGGAGATCTTCGACGTCTAGGGGAAAGTCTAGGAGAATTTCTTGGAGAAGACCAGGGAGATCTTTTCGGAGAAAGTCTGGGGGATACTTTCCTAAGGGGGGACCTTCTCGGGGATCTCGACCTTGATCTCCTCGGTGAAGCTCTCCTGTTTGGTGATAACCGGTGGGGTGAAAGCTTGGGGGATTTGGGAAGTGGAGAGCGATCTGGGGATATTCTGAGTGGTGATCTAGGACAGTTTAGGAATCTGGGAGAGTGAGGACGTGAGATGATTTTTGGGGATCGCGATTTTCGAGATTTTGGGGACCTGGAGAGTGGGCTTCGACCTCGTGGTGAGAGTCTACGCACTGGCGATCTGTTAGGGGATCGTCTAGGAGAAATTCGGGGAGATCGAGATCGAGGACGTGGCGAGTACTTTGGAGGGGACTTCCTGGGGGATCTCACCCTCGAGGGCTCCCTCTGGCATTTTTTTAGCGATCTTGGAGGAGATCTTCTTGGTGATTTTCTTATTAACTTTTGTTTTGGTGACAAGGAACGTTGTGTGGTTGTTTTAATGCTGGAATAAGAAGACACTGATCTTGTCTCAATCTTGGAGGTATCTAGTGAATTATTCGGCTTTTCGGCTGGACGATTTTTCATCTCCGACTTGAAAGAGACTCGAGGTTCCTTAGACTCGTTTTTCGAAGGCTTCTTCTCCTTAATGTCGACTGGAGACTTCTCCAAGTTCATCTCTCGATCCATCTCGTCCATCAGGCGCTCCAGACTGTCTTCCTCTTCGAGATCTGCCATCAGCAGAATGTCATCGTCGTCCTCCTGGTCCTTTTCATTCTCTACGTTCTCTTCTGGCTCCTCCAGGAGGTCCAAATCCTCATCAACTTGAGAGAAATTGGCTTCATTGCTTTGGTTTTCTTTGTCTGTTCCAGGTTCATCGACAACAGTTTTTTGAGTTTCGGCTTGTGAATCTGGATTTTTCGGATCTTTCAGGTCTTCCTCGTCCGAGCCACTTACGTCATCGGTGTACCGTTGGAATTTCGATGGTTCTGAATGAAAACATAATGTCGATTTTTATTTTGCAATTGTGCAGGAACATAATTAGGAAATGAAAGAGATGAAATATGAAATTCCTGAAAGTCACCTGTTACATTTGCGGCTAAAAGTGGGTCAGGCGGTGTTTTATATTCAGATGCTGTTGACACTGGACTCTCTTCGACAGGAATTATCTCTATTAGATTCTGGTTCACTCGACTAGGATGAAAATTCTGAAAATTGCGTTTACTGTATGTTCGAGGAAAAAAGATTTAATCCACCAGTAGTTAACAGAAAAATAGTAGAAGAAATAAACTAATTTAAGTAATAAACAAGTGTGGTCGTGGTCTTACCCCATTTTGTCTTGGAGATCTGTTGGGATGATAATACTCTCTCCTAGGAAATCTCTGATTGTAAGATGGATACTGTGCACGTCCAGAGTGAATGACATGCTGTTGGGGAAATGCTTGGGCTTTGACATGAGGGACAGGCTTGATTCGCCTCGATTTCAGGGCAGCGAGCCTAAGTGCCTCCAGATCATCATCATCATCATCTTCCTTCTTGTATTTATGACTCGTTGAGACGATCATCTGCGGGGCGAAAAAATCTCTCAATATTTTTTATTGGCTGAACGTTAAGTGGTGAATGTACTACAGCATTCCATGATATTCAAGCCCCGTTGTTCTTACCATAACCACAAAATCAATCTATTGATTTTGAAGGGAATTCGATGTGAACTATATTTCTAAAAGGAAAAGTACCTCAATGAAGACGCTGAGATGTCTGGCGATAGAGAATCGAAAGCAAAAAATATTGTTGAGGGCACCATGGAGAATATAATAATAAAAGTGTCATAGATTTTCTTATGTCGCACTACTTTCAATCATTTTTTTTTTCCCCGGAGTCTGGGCGGGACTCCAGGTGAAATTTGATTTGAGGGATAAATACCTTTTGACGATAGTCCATATTATTAAAATCAATGATGTTTGGAAAGAATAGCTGTTTTTCAGGAGGAACACCAGCACTTTGTAACGCGTGCATAAATTTTAATACAAGATTCACAAGGAGATTTCACCATTACACATGTTTTTGGATTATAATAACAATAGATAGCACTGGTTGACAGTTTAAAAATTCGGGGCACTAGAAAATTTTGGAATTTTTATTCTGGTTTTTTGATTATATTTCACTCGTTTTTTCGGAAGAAACTCACTCGACCTCGGCTTCAACCCCCCACCAACTGTGCATAAATTAAAAAATGGCCGAGGGGCTTTCAGAAGAAACACTGGACCAAAGAGGATTGACTGAAGTAGAGGCTCAGTTCTGGGGGTTTGAGTGACCCCAGTGGCATCGTAGTACTGCACCCCAAGAGAGGGATGGCGCTACACGCAATGCTGGGGTGTTCTTTTTTTTTTATTAACCAAAGGGAAGGGGGAAACCACATCTGGTGGAATTTCAATGGAAAAAATTATTTAATATATTGAAGATATACCACTAATAAAATTATATTTTCATAATCAGCGCGTTGTCCTATCGGTAACGTGCTCGGCTACCATGCCGACGGCTGCGGTTCGATTCCGCCAGCATTAATTTTTTTTTTTTTTAATAATTCCTATTTTTTTTTTTTTGTAAATGGCTAATTAATGGAAATATCGTTTAAAAACTGAATATTTGAAAATCGAAAAGATATCCAGTGAAATTGAAAAATTAGCAATTTTTTAAAACGATACTTTTGCAATATATATACTCCTAATGAAATTTTATTATTGTAATAGTGCGTTATCCTAGTGGTAACGTGCTCGGCTAGCACGCCGACGGCCCGGGTTCGATCCCGCCGTCATTCATTTTTTTTTTTAAATAATTCCAATTTTTTCTTTTGAAAATGGCTAATCAATCGAAATATTGGTTAAAAACTGAATAGCTCTTCGATTGTCATGCTCCCCTGATACTTTTTAAAAAATTTCGAATTTTTCACTTTCAGTGGAAATTTCAGTGAATAGCTCTTCGATTGTCATGTTCTCCTGATACTTTGACAAAAATTTCGAATTTTTCACCTTCAGTGAAAATTTCAGTGAATAGCTCTTCGATTGTCATGTTCTCCTGATACTTTGACAAAAATTTCGAATTTTTCACTTTCAGTGAAAATTTCAGTGAATAACTCCTCGATTGTCATGTTACCCTGATACTTTTTCAATAATTTCGATTTTTTCACTTTCAGTGAAAATTTCAGTGAATAGCTCCTCGATTGTCATGTTCTCCTGATACTTTTACGAAAATTTCGAATTTTTCACTTTCAGTGAAAATTTCAGTGACGAGCTCCTCGATTATCATGTTCCCCTGATACTTTTACAAAAATTTCGAATTTTTCACTTTCAGTGAAAATTTCAGTGAATAACTCCTCGATTGTCATGTTCCCCTGATACTTTTTCAAAAATTTCGAATTTTTCACTTTCAGTGAAAATTTCAGTGAATAGCTCCTCGATGTTCATGTTACCCTGATACTTTTTCAAAAATTTCGAATTTTTCAATTGCAGTGAATACCTAAATAAAAAGTTGGAATTATTAAAAAAAAAATGAATGACGGCGGGATTGAACCCGGGCCGTCGGCGTGCTAGCCGAGCACGTTACCACTAGGATAACGCACCATTACGATAATATAATTTCATTAGTAGTATATATATTACAAAAGTATCGTTTTAAAAAATTGTTAATTTTTCAATTTCACTGGATATCTTTTCGATTTTCAAATATTCACTTTATAAACGATATTTTCATTAATTAGTCATTAAGAAAAAATAAAAATTAGAATTATTTTGAAAAAAAAAAATGAATGATGCTGGCATCGAACCGAGGCGGTCCGCGTGCCAGTCAAGCGCGTTGCCGAATAGACAACGCGCTCATTATAAAATTATAATTTTATTAGAAGTATATCTTCAACATATTGAATTATTTTTCCATGTGAAATTGCAGTTAAACAAATAGAAAACAAAAAGCATTCACCCCAGCATGGCGTGCGGCGCCCTCCCTCCCTTGGGGTGCAGTACTACGATGCCGCTGGGGTCACTCAAACTCCCAGAACTGAGTCTCTACTTCAGTCAATCCTCTTTGAGCGTACACATGAGAACGCATCCTTCGGCTCACCGTCACCGATCAAAGAAGATTGACTAAAGTTGAGACTGACTTCTGGGGGTTTGAGTGACCCTAGCGGCATCGGATTGGATTGGAAATTTGATTGGTAGGCGCAGATAGGCGCATGGGAAATCAGGAAAAAGAAAACAAGTCAATTTATGAAGAATCACATTTGAAATATATTTTTCATGAATTATCAATGGCAGCCCATAACCGCTCATCGCTGATGCAGCGGATATCACACTTGCATTCATAAATATAAATTAAATCCACTGTTAATCCTAATCACGAAATGATTTCGTTAAAAACTTTCTTATCCTACCGGCGATCTAGTGAATACTAGCGATAATTGATAATTTGCATACAAAATTACTTGGCTTCAACGTTTATGTCTGTGAAAAGAGATTTAAAAATATTATTAACAATCGGATGGCTATTTGCCAAGTAAAGACTGAATATTCATTTATCAATGGTCTCCTCATGCTCACCTTCATTACTACTGTGGTGAAGAATTGATTATTAACTCATTTTGGTACTGATTAGTATTGAGCATTGATAAAAAAAATTTCTTTGCCGCAACAACAAATTCTCCCTTGACAATGTACTGGGGTAATCCGTTGTTCGAACAAAGAGGAAGAATTAATTAACAAATCAGTCGCATCTTCTAATAGATAACTAACTTATGTTTGGTCGGTCAGGTAAAACGATTGATATTACGAGAAACTATGGAATAATTTTGCCACCGAAGTTTTTATTCGAATTCTAAATCCATACAAAAAAAAACATCAAAGGTCACTTGTTTCGTTTGTAAGGCCCCAAACTTCTCTCGAGACATTGAAAAGAATTTTTGGTAATAAGAAATCTTGGTTGGTAATTTTCTCACTAGAACACATCGAGATTGTTCCGATAGCAATCACGTATTCGAGTATACAATTATTTCAATAAAAATACAATTCAATAGTTAAACGGTAAAATAACTATTTAAACTAATCCTCTTGGACTTTAGATTTTATTGAATAGCTACGGGTAATTGCAATGAACACATGAGAATGTTTTAAAAAATATATTCACAACTGAAAAATAAATTCATTATCGGAGTCTCATCAGCGTCCATTAAAAAAAAACTCATTGACTTGGGATACTAAAAAAAAAAAGTGAAAAACCAATGCTAATATAACAATTCAGGAGTACCTGGGGTCCATCATGTACCTCTCAAGTTCGTTTTGCAGATTATGATGTGATTTACTGCGTCTGCTTGCCTCCCCATGACTGAGGACCTCCTGACCTCCCCTGAAACCTCCACTGGCTCCAGGATAATCAGGAAGTGGCGCCTGACCAGGCTGAAATTGCGAAAAGCTTTGGAGGATTCCAACAGATCTCGTCCATCCATCATAGCGTCTCTGCAACTGTTCCTCCTCACGCTGTTGTCTTCTGCTCTGCGAGGAGCCACTTTCAGTTGAATGGCTGTCCTCACTGGTACCTAATCCATGATCCCTCTCTTCAAGATTTGCCACACTCGCGGGACTCCCCTCAACCAATTTAGCTCCATTCTGATGGTAAAAAAGAGTGGGATGGGGTATAACATAGGGGATGGGCAATTTAGAAACGTCGAGTTGGCGCATTGACCTCATTCTCGCGTCCTTCTTCTCGTCATCGTCGTCGTGGCTAGAACACGAGCCAGGACCAAATATCGATAACAACACAGGGAGCAGAAAGAGCCCATGGAGAGCGCCCAGGAAGATCACCAGGAAGACCATCTTGAAAAAAACGAGGAATATGTATGTGCCGGCTAGGATTAGGGCGAGAAGTCCCAGAATAGTTGAAGCAGCCCCCTGAAGAATTGGCAATCCCAAACTATACAAGCACTCCTTAACTCTCTCGTCAGATCGCTTCTGCTTAGAGGACATGTACGCGTAGCAGATGTGTGCTGTAAAGTCGACGCTGAAGCCTATACACATAATCAGATTAATCATCGATATGCTGTCCAGGTTGACGTCCCACAGGGCCATGTAACCAGCCACTCCAGTTTCTATGGAGACGATGCAGAAGGCCACCCACAGGCAGCAGAGAATATTTGGGATGAAGATGAAGGAGATTATCATCATTATTAGAGCACCAAAGACCATGCACTGGATACTGGTAGGGAGAACAAGTTCAAATTGATCGAAGAAGACAAAATATGGATGGAAGACACTGGCGTTCAATGGAGAATTTTCACAAATCTTTCTCAATTCACGAACCATATCCTTTTCTTGATTGGTCCCACTGATGTTGACAGCTTGGATGAGAAATCTGCTGGCTAGTATGTGCTCCTCTAACTTGTCCAGGTGGACGTCGACGGTGGCTGTTGGCCAGTAGGATTTTAGAGTTTTGATAAAGTCTGCTTCGGTATTGAGGGTGACATTTAGCTCTTCGATGTTTGAGGCCGTGTACGATAGAAAACTTCTCAGCCAGTTATCACCGTACAAGGGCTCGCCGATCCATTTTGTCGCTTCTAGGCTGCGAGTCAAGTTCTCCATTTGGCTCTGGATTACTGGGTCACTGTAGTCGTAGTGTCCTGAGATAATTACCTGGAGACGAATGAATACTTCATTTATCCTATATAATTTATTCAACATCGGGATTGATATATTCACTCGAGAGATAAGTCTCTTTTTCAGAGTTTAAACAATAATTTTTAAAATTGCGAAAAAGTGCCGATAGTGCGCCAAGCAAACTCACTTGTATTCTATAGGGAAATTCTCGGAAATAGAGATCCTCTCGATCATAAAAAGTGATTGAATATGAATCCTCTTTCGATAGCTTTCGCCTGTCGAGCCCTTCCTTCAGCTGAGTCACTCCATAAACGGCTCCAACGAGGTATAAACCAAAAATAATGATGATGAAAATCTTGACTGGGCGACAATTCAAGGCCTCTGCCAAATAATCACGAAACCAAGTCATGCACCCGTGCTCTGGATTGTCCAAGGGATTCGCAGGATCCTCTGGATTCACACCTCCACTACAGAGAGCACGGTAAATCCAAGACCTATGACCTAAACAAAGATAGTGTCCTCGTTTGAAAAACATCGCATCAACCTTGATGGATATTGTGAAAATAATTAATATAAGTTGCCAGAGTGGTGGCACTTGTCGCCTATACTTTCCAACATTTGGATGCTCGCGTCACGTCAACCAATAAGGTCACAGAGACTGGGTGAAAGTAATGCGAGTCAGCGATTCCTTATGTAATTGACTGTGATCTAACAAATTAACAACAGCCCAAATGCGCAACTTACTACCGGGTTTCAAAAGTTAAGGGAATTCATAAGGTCCTGTTTGCGCCAGACGAAAAGTCAATTATCGGAATTTATCAAGACTGGTATAATAAATTGACATAGCCTGTGGTGCAACACAATACAAAAGGTGGATGAATATCAATTCATTTTAAGCAACAGAATTAGAGTGAATTTATTTTGAATTAGGAAATCTAATGAATTACTAGAATTGCTCAAGCGAAAATAACTTGATGAAATTATCATGCAAATTGATATTGGCATTTTCAAGTTTCGGTCTTCCGTGAATTTCATAGTTCGGCGAAACTGACTGTCTCGGTTGACAAAACGAAGAGAAAGTTTCTTGAGTGATTTGAAAAGTATGACTTACACTGCAGATGAAAATAAAAATGTGCCTTGGCTTATGCACTGTCGTTCAATTTTTATTGTTTTTATTGGCAATGGACTCACGTGATTTGGAAAGCGGCTGGACCTTACAGCACACAATACTGTGGCGATTTTGCTGCTCGCAGTAGCCACTGATGGCCACACAACCGCTAAAGAACGTCAGGTGAAAGAGGAACGTGAAAACCACTGCAAAACCTGTGACATTCAAAATATTGCAAATAATTCTCTCAATTACATGAGTCATCTCGCAATTTTTCGCAAATATTTTTTTCCGCACGCCAATTATATATATATATATATGTATAAGGAGATATATAAAGTTGGTAGCGTTGTGGAATCTAGTGATTGATATACCTGAATATATGCAGAATATCTGTACAGAAGGGAAAGGAGACATAATGCCGATGAAAAACGAAATCATGTCGGTTAGGGATGTAATTGTGATTGATACAGCAGCTTCACTCAATGTTTTTGCCATTCTTTCCGGCACTGGATCCAATATGTTGGTCCTCCGCCAGGCTGCGAGCATTACGAAAGTATCATCGATCCCAATTCCTATAACCGAACATAATAATATACATCTAAAACTTTAAACTCTTCATTCAATTTCATAGCGGAAGGGGACGAAAAAAGAAAAAAAAAAGACAAAATATTATGATTTTACGTGAAAGATGAAAGTTCCCAGGTGTTCCAACTCCCACTTTGATACATACACAATGACGCAATGATTTCTGAGATATTCCGTCATAAGCTTTGGGGGCTACAATAAATTCATTCCAGTGTTTAGTATTCAGGAGACCTGCGATCGTGACAAAGACGCGACATATACGTAAATTTCATTATCACTTGCAACAAACGTACTGGTTTATGCAAGACTTTGCATTTTCCTTCTCTCGGCGTGTGTAAAATACCAATCGGCTATCAATAGGGCAAATTTTGTATCGATTCGCGATTTTTTTAAACAAGTAGACAAGTAGACACAATTTTTTATTAGAAATATCACAGAGGAAATAAGAATTATATTTCGAAAGACCAAAAAAAAATAGAAAAATTTACCAATCATGAGGAATGGCGCAGCCAAGTTGATGCCAATAAAGTCAATACCAATGTACATGCACAATCCGAAGGCTGATACAGTTGCCAATGCTGCTGACAGGTTACCGAGGAGTCCAAGCCAGGGTTTGCTTCTCACCCAGTCGGTCATCATGCACGTAACCACGGAGAAAATACCCATCATAGCGAATGTACTTGCAAAATATGGGACAACTGTTTTGGTGTTGGCCTCGAGCTCAAGTTCTAGGGTCTTTGAAGCAAATCGAGCGACACTTATGTGTTTGAAGATTTTTTCGTCTTCGGCGTCACTCAGAGCGTTCAAAAAGGCTTCCTCCCACGCCCCTCCTCTATTTTCATCACCACAATGAATTTAAATTATTATCGATGATCGGGACTCAACATACATACATATGAGAAAAAAAAATACTCACATTAAATCTTGCCGTTTATTATCAACAGCTACGAAGTAGCCCAGTTGTACAGACGGCACAGAATCAATGGTCGAGTCTTCGGGGTTGATAACACTCCCACCGAAATAAAGTGGAAATATGTGCGAGTCCCAAGTGACTGGGTTAAACATCACTGGAAACGTGAGTTTCAATTGTCCAGTCTCCACATCCCTGAAAATTACTATTACCAATTTAGATCCATACGAATTATTCAATGAAAAAGACAGCTCGCTCATCACCGAGTAGTCGTAAGCATTGAGTATTTGAGCATTGATTTGAGTGAAAGCAGTACATACTCCATGATTAGATCGAGATTGAGGATGCTGTTGCTGGAGCACTCATCCTTGGTTCGTGCACAGACCTGCCCATATGTAAAGCTTTCGCCCTCGTAAACCGCTGTTGCATTTCTGATTATGCCGTCCAGGAGACGCAGCTCTTTCCACACTTCTCTTCTCAACATATTTTCGTTACCGTCCTTAGCAACTATTATCACGTGGCCGAATCGCCCTATCAAAGCGGCAATATATTGGTAACGTTCTGTGATTTATAAATTGACTGCTTACAAATTACAAATTTTGTATTTACCTGGTCTAGTGATTCTCGTGACATCGAAGTCATGACTGTAGTTTACCTTGAAGTGTTCCTCGACGACAGCTCGTTCGTATTTACCGGGTCCATTGATCGGTGAGAATAGATATTCTGGATCAATTTCATATTTGACTCTCTGATAACCGGTGATACAAATGCATGCCAATAACAGTGGAACTATGACAAAATATCCGGGATGTCGGCCCACTATGAGGCCAACTTTGTAAAACGCCCGATTCAAGAAGTCATCAACGATTGTAACATTGAACCTCATCTAGAATTGAAAAAATTTAATCAGCAACATATTTACCGAGAATCGGTTATTCCAAATAGATTTTTAATTGCGCAATGACTCGATAAAGTGATGATTGGATAAAAGCTCAAGGTTTTTTTTTCTTCTCGTGATTATGATTTCTACATGTATTGAGTCAAGTGTTTAATCACTAAGGTATGAATTCACTGCTCGAAATGCCAATACCGCGCGAGAATTAATTATGAATTTATTGCACATTGTTTGACGTAAATTCGAGACGATTGCAGAGTTTGAGTATTTGGTGGTGGCTTTGGCTTTATGAGGGAAGTCGTTGATTAAAGCTAGTACCGAGCCAGTCGGTACCAATTATTATTCAACTTGAAAAATCCAATTATCCAGAATATCTTTCGAGAATTTTATCACGATCTGCGGCATAATTATATGAGAAATTAATCGACGGCCAATTCGATTTCGAAGACAAATCATGCATATTTTCTTACATTTTGGAATTTTTTAAAGGGACATTACCCTTTACCGTCAACCGGGAATGTAATTTATTTCTTTTTATAGTCCCAAAGTTTTTTCTATCTACTTTCAATTGTAAATTTGACAATCCATGTTTATGCCAAACTGATATCCTGCAAGGTGGCCTGAGAAAAAAAGTGCAAGACCCTTATAAAATCAGGAAGCATTGGCTCGACGCACTCCAGGAAATGAAAGAGCAATTGAGTGAATTTCGTAAGAATCTTTTGTCAATTCATCATCGAGAAGTAAAGGTCATCACCGATTTTCGTTGGGGCGAAGAGAACCGGTCCACGATGATATATGTGTATGGAGAAAGTTATGTCTTATGTGTTATTGGGTAATATTTTTTGATATGTCGCCATTATGAAACAGCTTTGTGATTTTTTTGTAATTCCACTCGTGATTCGATAATGTCTCCTCGAATAATGTTTCAGTACTTGTGTCATTTTTGTCCTACTTTTGGTAATTGTCGAAATTATTATTACTCTCTACTTATTACGTTTATCGCCCTCCTAATGGATGTGTCACTATTAAAATTGTTGACCAAGTGTACACACTGAAGGTGAAAATCGTAAACTTTTACGGATTTGCTTAGTCCTTTGGACTTTATCATCTGGAAAATTGCTTAATTTTTTTAAGGGTCTTTTTTACTGTCCACAGGCTGCACTTGATTGCTCATGTTTGAATATTATTATTCTTTCGTCTAAAAAGTTAATGAACCTATGAGGATCTCCATTGTCAAATATATGAAACCGTGAATTTTTATATATTTTTAAATACTCTTGATATAGAAGGTAAGAGATGGTGAAATGTTTTTTTTTCTCTAAAAAACATCAATGGAAATGATTACGTCTGTCATTTTTCGTTTGCGAAAGTTAAAAATTTCTGAATTAGTTTCCCCCATAATAAAATCAATATACGGGGAGAGAAAGTTTCAATAAAAATGACGTGAAAACCCCGTAATCTGACTCAGAGCGATGTTGATGCTTTCATGTGTTACTGCGTGTCTGATTTTCCATTGCCACTTTGAGTGTTAAAAATGGGAAAAATGAAGACTGATTAAATTGATCCCATCACATATGTACACGCTTCAAGCTCCCCGGAAGAGTTAATTTAAAAAAATAACAACTCCAGAAATTTTCTCAATTTTCTTGTAAACGTTTGGAGAAATAACAAATTAAGTTTTCTCTTCATGGAACCCTAATAAGACTTTCCACCAATCCCTTAAATTCCAAAAAATTGCCAACAGTTAAGGACTGGTAATCAATTTTCTTGAGTCATGAATCATTTTTAGGGTAGGGTCAGGTATGTCGACAACCCAAAGCCACAAAACCTCAAATTCAAAACTTGAAGGCAGGGGAATGATGCAGGAAAAAAATTTCGTGTTTTTAGTGAATTCATTCCACGCTGTTGCCGGAAGCCAATCTGATGGATAATCCACAGATGACAATTAAGCCCAGAATAATTGCTGAAAACCGTTATTTTTGCACAATGAATTGCAAAATAATACATTGTCTAGAATGATGGGGTTTCGTAAGAGTAAAAGCAATTTTCGTCTTGTGGATTATAATAAAACTCTCTCTGTATCTGTGGAGTCGATGACTTCCGCGTTTCGACCAAGTGTTATTGAATCGGGACATAAACATTCACGCCATTTCAATACATTGCTCTGTCAAGTTCATTGTGCGAGGCATTTTGTGATGTATCGATGAACAGCTGGTAGCACACCAAATGAATCATTATTTGTTTCTAGTCAGGAGACCATACTTTTTATTTGATAAGCGATATTGCTGGTCGCGCACGAGAAGATCTGGAAAGCCTTGTCTCGATTTAGCAATCCAGTGGATAATCCACTTCCAACTGTACCTAACCCGACGCATTCCCCACATTTTTTTTTTCTTCCAGTGATATCTTCCAATGAAATTCATCCCATCATATCCATATCTATACCCATAAATTCTCCATTGCACATCATCAAAAGGTCAATCTCAAAAAAATTACTGCTAGAACAATTATTTAATTCAATGAAGTCATTGAAATTTTTTAGCCGTACTCGTGCAACTCTGAATGTCAATGAAGAAAGATACTTCTTGTCACAATTGACCGAGTCTTTACTCTACTATCATTGGCATGAGAAATGTAAAAAAATCTCCGATTCAGATTGATGAAAAAACCTTGATATACTTTCGCTTTTCCTTGGTGGAGTCAGTCAACTTAGAGAACTATTGATCTATTCATTCGTGCTGGATTTTTTTTCGTACGTGGTCAAAGGGTCGAAGATCATATTATTGCGACAGGCAATCCAACTTTTGATATTGTCGTGATTGATTGGTGATACAAGGTGCATGTTTTATGTTAGAGTAGTTATTCTGCAGGTGAACGTTGTTGATTCAAATTATTGCGATGATTATTCAGAGGAATAATTATTATTGCTTTCATTCTGCTTGTTCTCATTGTTTTTCATTGTTATGACTTTGTAAACTGTTAAAGAATTTTGAATGTAAGTTTTATCACTTTTCTTCCGAGTTCTTGTTGCTTTACAGTCGCTCCGAAAATTATTGAAAAATTATTATTGAAAAATCAAAATTTTATACTCCAATGGAGGGAAAATGTAAATTTAGAATTAAACTATTTCATAAAAATTGCTGAAATTAATTAAAATTACAATAATCAATTTCTCCCGAATCGAATTGCCTAAGCCTGTTTTAAAAATACCATGAAAAATGTCCCCGAAATTCCAATTTTTTTCTTTTCGAACAGCGGAATTGACCACGTGCTTACTATAGTACGAAAACATTTTGCAAGATGGAACTCGAATGTCAGTTCGAGTAAGAGTATTACTGAGTGCAAGAAAACTATAGTAATTTCTCCAATTGAAATCGACGAAACGCATCGTTCCTCACTGCTCAACTGCTCCTGTGGAGCAGTTGAACATTAAACGAAAATATTAATGTTTTGCAATATAACAAAGTAATTTCTTGAGTAATGGTCGACGTAACGATTCGGATTATATCAGACTGATATCCTCTTCCGGTTCTGAAGCGTGTGAATAATTGCCGCGGAGATAACGAGATGATAATTCGATCAAATATCGGGATCATGAAAAGCAATGGTTTCCAATGGGAAAATGAGATTTCATGACTCGAGAGGTAGTCGAGTATGAAGCGAATTAATGGGCTGCGATGAATGAAAAAAAAAAACAAAACTATTTCGAAATTAGGTACTCAGTGGAACAATTATTCGAGAAATTGGATAACTCTTCGCGATGGAAATGCATTCAATTTTTGTGACGATTTTTTCTTGGATAGTCGAAACTATTCAATCATTTTATCTCGGATTTGTACTTATAGCCTGGATATTTCATAGGCGTTTTTCATTTTATCTATTGCAAAATTAACCATTAGGTTCAGTAATTGTGCACTGTGAATAAATCGTCAATATCACATTCGAATAAAAAAATATCATGAGCATTTTCAAATATGTTGCGATTTTTCTTCAATTTTGAAATATTTAATAAAAATTAGCCTGGAAAAATATTTGCCCATCTTATTTTATATGTTTATGACAGATTTATTGTTATACCAATTTTCAAGAGAAATTTCAATATGCTATTTTTACCTTGATTTTTTTTTGTTGTTTCGTGTAGAACCCGAAGAATTAAAAAAAAAACAATTCAGCACCACGAGAACGAGATAAATCCCTTATCCAAAAAGAACTGAAGTCGCCGGCATTTCCTCACTCCTCCCAGGACACTATTTTCCGTAAAAAAAAAAGAGATGGTTCACCAGTGGCGGCAACTTTTCGACTGCTAACCCTCGTTTGTCTTTCTTTTGGAAAATGTTCCACCGTACGACGGAAATTCGGACGTTCGGATGTCTACGGGATCACTCGTCACGTTTTGAATAAGAATTTTGCGGGAAAACGTTAATAACTCCCGAGTGGAAATATGAAATATTTGTAATTTAAAATGGTCTCGTTATTTGATTTGGAAGGGAAGTCTTTGGAGGGATGTGATGTCTTTCAATCGATCCCGTAAGTTGGACTGACTCTCGATGCAGTTCACCGAGTAGTCCCGCCGACTTTCGCGGCTACTTTATGATACGAAGAGTATTCGAGACCAGTCGAGGTGGTGGACGTTGTGGGAGTGGGGTTTTGGGTGATTCTCGTTCTGCAGGATGGGGGAACTTTTATTGAATACTAACGGGGATAATAATGCTCGGTGTGTACCATACTTATTCAGTTTGGTACATCCTTCCTAGTTCACTATATTTAGATTATTTATGATACGGGCGAAGGAGGTGGAGATGTCAATGTGCTCATCATTTTTTGTTATAAATATATATCATGATCAAGCCTTTGTTTGTGTCTGAATTTTCGATGGCGATCGAAATGTAATTTTAAAAAGATTGCAATTGAAGTATGTATTTTGTCGTTTCCTTTTACAATTACAATCTTTTAACTTGATATATGTTTTAGTTCAAAACTTGAATGTTTAAAAATTGACACCTGCAAAATATCGAGTGTGAACTCATTGAACATTCTCTCACATCTTTCATATCTTATACGTCTATAGGTAATCAAATCGTGCACATGGGCATACTCAACTGGTGCGTAGAAATATCCTATTATGAAGATATTCGAAAACATTTCGAGTGGTAATTATAAAAAAGATGCTGGAGAAGCACGCATTGGGCGATAGTCGATGGAATGTGAACATCAATCATTCATATTGATCGACTTGTTTTTTCGCACACTTGATTATCATTAACGGATGAAGAATTTCTTAATATCAAAACGTCAGACAAAAGAATTCGATATTGTATGGGATGTGTACAGATGATTTTCTTCTTCTTCCGACAAAGGATCTCACCACAGGTGCACTCAATTATGGGTTTTCTTCGGTGCTCACGGTCTATTTTTCATCTTTCCAACTACCTGAGTTCCCTTGAGCAGGTCAAACACGCCAGATTCTCGGAAATCTCAAATGTGCAGACAATTTTCCTGCCACCTGAATGGTACGTATTTTTTCGAGGATGAGAAAAATCGTGCAGGGGCACACCTGTTGTAGAAAATATTTTTTGAACTGATGGATCCCATTTTCTTGTGCTGTACCTTAAGTGTAACAAGGCATTTTTAGTGTGGAGTGAAAAACATTATTGAAAAAATTACGCGAGAGCTCAGCAAGTTTAAAAAATTGAAATTTACAAATAATAATTTCCATTTGCGACTAATTCTGGATCATTTCTCCACCTTTCAAGGACATTTTTAATCCCTGGAGTAGGCGTCGTTATCACACGATTAGATGTTGACCGCAGTGGGACGAAAGAAATGACAATGAGACATAATGTTGGTATGAATGTACGTATAGTAAAGTACATAACATAACTGTACCTATAAACTGGCGACTAACAACTTTGATATGCCAAACGAGAGACAAGCAGTGGCCATTAACCACTGCCAATCTAACTATCAACTTTAAACGGTATATTTACGGACCTCTAACTTCGAGATGCTCGGCTTTTGTTTATCTTGAAGATTTTCTTAGTCTGATGTCAGCATCCACCAGGGATTCACCATTGCTAAGCACGTCAATGTTTCATATCCATTATTTATCTATTCTTTCTGAAAAAAATTATTCAAAAAGGATAATGAAGGCTCTCCAGAGATGTGACAATGGTACTCGAAAACAAGTGAATGTTCTTTTATGCAATCTTAACATAACGCCAACAGTTCAAGTTGAAATTATTATTTGTATTTCTCTTATTACGAATGAATGGATTATTATTTCATGTCCATCAAAGACAATCGCAGGATATTTATAATTGCATAAGTGGAATGATAAAATGGGTTGAACGCGTGAGCTAGTTTTCTCAAGGATCCATGGGTTCTTGAGGGTCACAAGTTCTGTTTTTTTTTTTAACATCATATTGTCGATCCAGAGAACAGTTTCTTGTTAAATTTACGGAATTTCGAGATTACATTTACATCGATGGCCGTGTATCCCGTCCCTTCACAATGTAAAGCGTCCATTAGTAGACATGAGATAATTGCGATTTTCTATAAAATTTTTAAAAGGTGAATGTTGGGATGATGTGGAGTGCATTCAATGGAGAAGCAATAGTTTTTGGGGCGGTACGATCCCTCACGTACCACGCCAAAATTAAAACTTCAAAAATTTTTTTGAAAATTTTTTTCAATTTTGGCCTGCTGTGGGGTGCATTGTATTACAATTTTTTAATTTTAAATGATACCTGCTGCGCACTTCGTGCGCCGAATTTGAATTTGGCGGTTCGAGTTGACCAATGAGGAATTAGTCCTACGCGTTAATCCTACCTCAATGTAATCTCGCGTTAAATACGGGATATTTCGACTCGGACGAACTTCATTTCTGCGTTTCTAGTTTCATAATATGGATGTGTAAATGTTTTAATGTTTGGATGACTTACTTTGGGTTTAAGAGTCTCCATAAAACTTTTTAATTGAAGCATATAAATCCACCGGGAATTTCATTTTCATGCCATGAAAACTATTTTTACTTTCAATCAATTCCCTTCAAAACACATTTTTTAGAAAATACACGATCGTTGAACGGCGCATGCGCGCCTGCATTATAATCACCACACTCTACTTTCTTATAGTGACGTTATTCCATCCCGTAATCAGCTGATACTTCACTCAACAATCCCCAAATAAATGATTTAATACGATACGAAAAATCTCTGCATGTGGATTCCGAGGAAAAAACTCGAAGAATTCATTCTCGATCTACTCATGTAATTTTTTCCTGTTTCGAATACTTGGTGAGTTTTATCTGTACTTATGTAAACAAGGGCATGTAAACAATGTGTATGCTTTTCGATGATGAGAGACATTGAAATGCATAATCAATTATTAGTTCAGATGGAATAGAAAAAAGGATTGTGAGAAATTTTGAAGTTTTTTATGATTAATTTTATTCACGGGAATTGTTTGGGATGGAGCAATGGGTAATGCAGGCAGTAATCAGCAAGTCGGTCATCATCATGGCAGTACAGTGACCAAAGAGACGCACAAACACAGTAAAGAACAACCACCGCCCTCGCCCAATAAAGAGGGACAGGCATTTACTTTTGCTAAGAAACCTAGCCAAAAGCTTGTCTTCCAGTCATCCCATGAAGAGGAAGAACCGTATTTTACCAAGGTTTTATTCATATATTATTGGGATAAAATGCATTTAATGCAATGTCATATGCTGTAGCCATGGAAAATAATGGAGGCAAAAAAATTGTATTTTGAATCAGGATGGGGATGATTTTGGATGCCAAAGGCCCCGCTCAAATACGGTATCAGAAGGGACAAAAGTCGCCGACAGCAAGGTCTTGCCTACAGTATTTAAGTGGGAAGGCGGTGGAAAGCAAGTATATATAAGTGGCACATTCTCAGGATGGAAAACATTGCCAATGGTCAAAAGTCATGGCGACTTTGTTACGATTATCGATCTTCCTGAGGGCGAGCACCAGTACAAATTCTTCGTCGATGGAGAGTGGAGGCACGATCCGGGCCTGGCACGTTCTCTCTAACTCATTTCTTTTATTAATCCCAACAGCTGAACAGAATCAACTGATGAATTAAATTTTACAGAAAATCGTTGATAATGGCCTGGGAGCCAAGAACAATCTTGTGTCTGTGAAGAAGTCAGACTTTGAAGTTTTCCAAGCGCTTGCCAAAGACAGCGAGGGAATAATCAGCAGTGCCCAGACAGAGTATGGGCAGGAGATACCGACCCAGAAGCCCTGGGAAAAAGTTGCTGGACCACCTATTTTACCACCACACTTGTTACAAGTCATTTTGAACAAAGATACTCCATTATCTGTAAATATTATTATTTTTTCATGTATTTATCCGTTCATATGATTGTCATTTATTATAATAAAATTCAATAATTATTCCAGTGCGAGCCAACACTTCTTCCCGAGCCAAACCACGTGATGCTGAACCATCTTTATGCTCTGAGTATCAAAGACAGTGTGATGGTTCTCTCTGCTACCCACCGTTACCGAAAAAAATACGTAACGACACTTCTCTATAAACCTATTTGAATAACTCGAAATATTGCTATATGAGTGTGTGATTTAATCAGTGCACGACGGTCACGACTCTCGTGAATATACGAATTTTAGACTGAGTGATCATGTGAATTTTGTGGGTACGAGGATAACTACTGATAAATATGATTTAAAACCCAATTTGGGATACCCAGGGAGTTTGCTATAATGGTAAAGATAATGTTCATTTCCAAATATTTATTTGATGACTTATTCGACCTATTCGATTCTCCTGTTATCCTGTTAATAATAATTAAAAGAAGAAAAATTGAATATCAAGGGGATGACAAAGCTAATTTGTTCGTTTCATTCATTGGTTTTTTTTTCTTTATTAGTGATTAAGCTTGAACTCTTTGAAATCTTTACGTGTTGTCACTTAAACGGAATTTGTTCCACATACTCGTAGACCATCCTCGATTTGCCAGCCACCAGGTTCATCGCAATCCGTTTCAGAAATCCCAGAGGGCAGTGATTTTTTAGGAGAATCAGCGAAAGGTGCCTCAGCCCTGGTTTTAAGAAAATAATTCCCTCTGGCTGCATGATCCACTGGTTCTCCCATAAAAACCATGGCTGAATTACTGCAGGCACCGATTCTAAATTGATCCCAGGTGTCACATTTAGTGGCTAATAAGCCTGCGTCTGAGAATATACTTTCTGTAAAGTAGACGTAGGCTCTGCCATGGCTACAAGCCTCTAGAGATTATGAAATATTAATACACAATGAATTCGGGGGGAGATGAGGTTTAAAAATCGTGCTATTAAAGCTACTGAAATGAAATCGATAGTAATCACCAATTCAGTAATTTCGTGAAGAATTAATTCATTCATTTCAATTCATTATCACCTGTTATCTCTGGTAGACAGCAGCATCCAGGCTGCACAGCCACCCCTCCATTGGGATAAAAATCGGCATGACCCACTGGTTGGAGAAATCCCAAGATTCCTCCACAAGAATGAATTACATCGACGAAATCCGCGTCTGAGGAGTCCAATTTTCCATCATTCGAGGTGATAACGTGGAAGCCAGGAAGCGCCGGATCCAGGCCTGTCACTCGTCCCAGCTTACCATGGGTCGTCGATGCTGCAGCATTTCCAGCTACATGAGCTCCCAATGAATGACCTATGTCCGCAAATAATTTTTCCAAAAATTATTATATCAAGTTACTTTAGGGAATTTACGAATGCAGTCCTAATGCAGTTTCAAAATTAATTACAACGAATTTTTCTTTAATAAAAAAAGTGGTAAAATTAATGAGTCTGACCTATGAAGTGAATATCCACAGATCTGATTCCAGTTTCCTGGATTAAAAAATCGATGAATAGTCCAGCCTGTTTTCCAACTTTTCCAGTATTTTGCATGGGTCCCAGGTAAAACGTACTCGACGCCAAAGGTTCCCAGTCCACGAGGATGACGTTGTAATCTCCTCTCCTCAAGTAAGCTTTGAAATTGAACAGGACAATCTTTTAATCTTTAGCTTTTCAAAGACGTATAACTTTAATCCATTATTTGATTTGATATTTCATACCGTCTTTCAAGTTGAGAAGACTTGCACTGAAGGCACTGGATTTCCAACCGTGAGTAATGAATTTCGTGGGATTCCATGGAGAAAATCCAGAATTTTTTATCAAATCCAAATTTCCGTTGAATAGCATGGTTCCATTGGGTGGTCCATTTCTGGAGAACAAAGTTTTCACATTCGATATTCAACGGGAGTAAACTTTTAATAACCTCTGATGGATTCAATTCAAATTATCCTTTTGAATTTTCTTAAGATACCTTGTGTATAGGTGATAGTTTACAGATTCATCGATAAGTCCCCTGAACTCGGGGCCCTGGCCTTTTAGGACAGCCACCTGCGGATGGCCATTGCCATCAGGCATGAAGATCCAGTCGTCTCCATATCCATCATATTTATCCCTCAAAGGGCTGTCAGTATAATGCGAAGAAATTACTCCTATCCCATAAAAAATTACAAGTGCTCCAACTTCTCGGCTCAGCATTTCTATTCCTTATTTTAGTTTAATTGAAAAATCCCTGAATCCCTTAATAATTCCTTTCCTTCCAGACAATTTATTATCCCTCAATTAAAAGTACCTCCACTGGTTCATACTCGTAACTATCAACCCGAAGAAGAACCAACTGTCAACTCCCAGTGGGAAAAACGGTTTTATAAGTTTCCCCTGATATCAGGTAAGATTTAAGGTACTCCTTGCGCATTTGTATTTAGTCCGTCCCAGTTTAGTTTAGAATTTATCACTGTAGTTCCTATTATCACAATAACACGGAAACACGTCTGACTGCGGGGTCTGAATCTAGGCATCTTAATCTTTCGGGAATTAGTTGCATGACTTAATTATGTGATTATTTGTCTTATCGTTTCCTCGCGGTTTTTTTAGGCTTGCTAAACTGCGCCCAATGTGATTACCGTAAAATTTGCTGAGGAATAAATTTGTATGGAGGACAAGCAGGGTAGTTTCAACGAGCTTGACAAATTTTCTTTGATATTTATCATACACCAGTTTGGAGAGCATAAAATATATTTCCAAATGATGGGGAAATATTCTTGTTTAGTCCACATTGGAGTAGAAAAAATTCAACAATGAAAGTTCAATTTTATGGTCCGCGGAAGAGGGCGATGATCAGGCGATGAACACGAATATTTTACTGATGGATTTTATTATACAAGAATATGCCAAATGTTGATTGTTAGGCTATGAAAAGTATTACAATTTTTTATCTTAAATGAATAACTCCAGATGAATAATTGGTAATTTGTAATATCTGTTTGGATTGGAACGTGGACTTGAAGGAATGAACAAAAAAAAATATTCCATGAGAAATTGTCGACTAATCGTAAGTTAGTATCAAGAATGATGAGGAATATTGGTGACAGGCCTGCCTCTCTGATTTGTTATTCACTGTAACAGAAACGCTCAGTTATTTTGTATCTAGTCAATGGATAAACTAGGAAAGAATTTTATTCAGAAATTACCATTGAATCCAAACTCTCCATTACCAAATCCCCCAACGAGTGGAATATCTGGGAATATCTCTTTGAATGATGAAGCCTCGACGTCTCTCACACCGTACATATACGTTCCTCTGCCTACACAAGCGAACATCAAAGCCACAGTGTGTTTCATGGGTTGAATATCCTTTCTCCATTCGATGAATTTCTCCCGAACTTCTTCCTTCCTTCGTACACCATTGCCAATGATGAGTGACCAACTCTTGACGTTGGGACCACCAATGAGAACAGCTATCCAGGCATGACAGGTCCCAACAGCTTCACCTCTTCGGCCGATCCTTAATTCTTTAGTTATTCCACCCCAGAGGATAGGTACATTCTCGTTTATTACTTCTAATGAACAAAGTTTGTTCTCATGTCCAAAGCGTTCAGAAGTGATCAGTAACATACATTTAATCTCCTTCATCCTATGTACAGCCCCCCGAATCATGGGCTCAATAACACTCCATCTTTGTGGTTGCTGCCCATGTAGCCCATTGCTTAGGGCTTCCAAATTTTTGTTAAGATGAATGATCTGACCCTTCTTACTCATTAAATATTCAATCTCTACTTCAGAACTCTCTGGTAAGTATCCACAAACAGCAACAGGTGTATATCTGTCGAATTCCTTTTCATTTACCACAACTCCACTTGTCTTCATGAGGATGGAAAGGCAGTTTCTTGGGAAGTGTGTATTGAAACAATCACCTGGATATGAATTAATTTTACTGAACAAGAGTCCGAGCATTGGTCTATTCGTCAAATTGTGAGAAAACACCGATGTATGACATGCTTTGAAGGCTGCTTTCGAGGGTAAAAAATCAATCATTGGACCGCGACTAGCCAATTCGTTAACAGCAACCTCTTGCCAAAGCCTGCAAACCATCGCACAATTGCTCAAATCCCTTGCAAAAAGACGTTTAAAAATCATAGAAACGACGTCATAAGGCAAAATAATTCCATAGTCGATAGTTTCACTGTGTTGATTTGCCATTTCTAATGATTCCTCTCCAAGATCAACTTTTTCCTTTCCACGCATTATTTTGCACCTTCGCACACCTGACATTCTGAATCCCTCAATTTCTCAACTAATGTTCAAATGTTTAATACAATCTCCACGACTTCCTCGATAAATACAAACCAGTATTCCCACTTTGTGATGAATCTGAATATGAAAATAACAGGGGTTGATCGTAGATGAGACAGAGGGATTGGTTGGTTTGGGTTGGTCGTTGTCTAATTCGCCCCACTTCAGCGCTCAGAATGATCACACTATACGCACATATTTAATACTTATAGAAAACCCGGGAAATTCGAATTTCATTGAAATAATTCAGTAAAATGAGACTTAAGCTGGTAGTGATCTTTGAACGTAAATTAGTATAAGTGGATACATTGAGTATTTGACAATTTATCCATCGATTGATAAATTATCAAGTGACATTTCCTGAAAATTAATGAGAAACCTAAATAATGCAAAAAAATTACTAATAATATTGTATATTGTTTTTTTTTAATAATAATAACTGGCTCGTCCTCTCCACAGAGCAACGAGCGTTCGATGTTTAATCTGATAACAAAAGACTGGACAAACATCAAGTGAGAAATAATCTGGAGAAAACCATTTCGATCAATATTTGTTCAGTTTGTTTAGTGAAATTCTTTCAGAATTGTTCGTCGAAGATTTTTTAAATTTCATCTATTCAATAGAATTTCAATGCGCATTCCCTTCAATTTGATGCAAAAGAGTCCAGCCCACATTAAGTCTGTCGTCATGGAGTCTGAAATTTGCAAAACTTTTTCAAGAAGTATAATAATCTTCTGGATGAACCGCACGTCAATTTGCACTCACAAATGAAAAATCATTGGTTTTCCAGATTCGAGGGATAATGCAACCAGGGCGAATTGTGATATCATTAGGAGTGCATCACATATTCAATTGACAGGTTTGAACTATTCTAAGCACTAGACCCAATTCAATTACTCGTGCTGCAGTCTAATGAACGTATTTTGTATTTGTTTTTTATCTGCGTGAATTCTGACAAGTGCAGCACTCCGGGGAGAAATGGAACGGGCAGGCACAAAATGCAATATGATGAAAAAACGCCTGGAATATTTCCAAATTTTGTATCAGAGTGCGGGACCCACTTCCATCGATATTCCCGTGAAAACATCACATGCGTCTCCGAAATCAAGCCGGATCGAAATTCTCAGGAGTCCAATGATCGATGAAATCGATGCCAATGAATCCAAAGAAAATGAACAAATGGGTAACTTCTTCGAGCGATTCGAAAATTCCACCAATTCCTGGAAATTAGGTCAACACGAATGGGAAAAAATTTAATCCGTTTAATTTCCAGAAGAAAAATCCCCTCATTTTCCAAAACCGCAGAAACAAAAATCCACCGTTATCCTGGAGATAAAAAAATCATCAGTGCATTTAATTACGAATGCTTGGAGTGAAAAATCGATCGGGGAAATTCACCAGGCACCGATCAGTAACGACCAATTTTTCGATCCCTCGGATCGTGAAATCATCGAAACGCTCCCTCGGGAGCCGGAAATTGTCCTGAAATTGACTGATAGACGGGAGGTATCAGCTCGTGATAAAATAGCAAGACCTCGTGATTTCACCGGGAGGAAACCGGAATCATCAAGGCGGGATGAAACCGCTCCCAAGATCATCAAGAAGAAAAGAAAGAAGATGAAGTTGAAGAGATCCAATTCGAAAAGTACCACTGCTAGCAAACATGTTGCTAATTTGTCAGAGACCACATATCGGAGAGTCAAGCGTCGATGTAAAACACCTTTGTTTAACCATATTTAAAGCTTGCATAATTATTTCGATTTGGAGGAGAATAACATTTGAAATAAAAATTTCCAAAAATAAAACATCCTTAACTCAATTTCAGTTTATAAAGTTGAGGAGTCTCCGCCCGTTCTCGATAATTCAAATGAAAAACCGCAGCCTCCATTGAAGAAATTGATGAGTACAGAAACTGGTAAAGAACAAGAAGTGGTAGAGATCTATCATAATGCCGCCGTACACCATATTCAGAGTAATTCTGAGGCATCTCTCAAACACCAGCAAACGAATTCACAAGAAAAATCTTTCAAAGATACTCCAAAAAATATAAAAAACAGAATTAATGAGACGCGGACATCGGAGATGCAGACTAGATCCAATCAAATGACCAAAAATCGAGAGGAAAAAATTCCTTTGGTCACCAATCCAGAGCCGATCCCCAGGTTTATCATATTCATAAATCGCAATTATTCTCATTAATAAACGAATTAATTGAATTGATGAACAGGAAAGGAGAGCCTGAAATTCGCTTGAAAGAGCCTCCAGAGGAATTTCCACCTCCAGCGAGGACCTGGCCCTCCGACGCATATGATCAACCGAATTACCAACAGCCTACATTCGCGTCTAAACTGAAATGCGTTAATAGATGTTACCTGACGGCTAGATTCAACTTGAGGAACATTCCTTTCGTCGTTGGCACTTCAATTACCCCTAGTCACAATTTGGGACTCAATATCCAACAGGTTCTCAGTCTCATGAAGAGCAAACAACCGGGACTAGCCACCGAGATGCGACCATTTTTCATGAAAAAAGTGGGAAAAGAACTCCATCCGTGTGACCTAGTGGAAGACGTCAGAGATTCATCTGCCGAGATTTTTGGAAAATCGGATAAAAATTCGCTGGATGTGAAACAAGATTCAGTAGTTCAACGAAAAACAGTAATAAATTGTTCATTTTTCATTCATATTTCTTTATCGGACTAATCTATTTTGTAATCAGGAGGAATTGAAACACGTAGAGAGTCGCCTCCGCCTATATCCAGGAATGACCAGTAATTCCTCAGAGATTAGGAACGTCTTCATACGCCTGCATTACAAATTCGAAGAGACGCAAACGTAAATTCTGTCCCATCATAATGCCTCAATCCACAAAGTGAATAATAATTCTTTAATTTATCCCCCTATTTATAGAAAATACGACAAAGTCCAGGAGAAATTGGACAAATCCAAAGACGAAGCCCACCTGAAGGAGCTGAGGGAGCTGGAGGAGGAGCTGGTGGAGGAGCTCAATGCGCAAGAGAGTGAAATCAAAGCTGTAGTCGGTTTATACAACGAAGTGATGGCCCTGAAGTCTCAGATTTATGGTGCATCCCACCAGAAAAACAGTCTCCTCTGCATAGGTGAATCCTCGAAGGTTCCCCTAAGGCTGTTTCCAGTCTATCAGAGACTAAGAACTTCGTCTTGTCGAATAAAACGCCCCTCAACATCCACAAGACTCACTGGACTCCTCCGACAAATTCAATCATTCCAGCAGCAACTCATATCTTCATAAATTTCATAAAGTCTTTGAAAAAAAAATACACACACATTTTCCTGAGGTGCGCCGTTTTCCCGGAATAAAGTAAAAATAATCAAAACCAAAATTCAATTACAGATGATTTATTTCACCCTCGCTCAATATAGAATATATTGTTTATGTATAAGATGTTTCCATATATTTTATATACATTTATCCAACACATATGTATAACAACGAGCAAACATCGTCAATATTTATTTCTCACGATAATATCGTGTCGAAGGTGATAATGATTCTGCAGTCGTGTGAAACATCAGTATTCTCTTCCCTCTCTTTTAATAGCTGATTATCGTTAATATATTTATTATTATCCATCAATGACTGGGTAATTAAGAGCTCATCTACTGGAACTCCAACAGCAGAGAGAGCTGCCCGGAATTTTCTAGATATGTCGAATCAATAAATTCAATAAAAAATCGTTCGTTAAATGCAAAGTAATTTTCAAAACAAGAAGATTTCAACTCTGCTCACAGCTACCAAAACCCTTATGATATAAAATTCATAAGTCTAAATCACTAAAACTCTCGACTGCACTGAGCTATTTCGTGTTCAATTAATTATTTTTTAATTTTTTCTCTGATGGAATTAATGGGATTATTTGGGACGTTACATACAAAAGTTTAATCATCATGTTAAGGGGTTTCAGCTAATCTCATTATGTTTTTTGTTTTGATAAAAATTACTGCTGCCATTCGCACTACTCATAGAGAGAATTATTTTCGTACAAAAAATTCGTCACAAATTTTATCATAACCGACTGAAATTTCTCCAACAAGTGCCAAGTGCTTTATCACAGACTAAAAGATGCTTTGGTATATATTGATAAACCATAGGAGCCACTAACTAAAAACCAAAGTATTTCGGTGGAAATAATAACATCTACAATTGATCACGAAAAAGGCCCTCGTGGCAATCGCAATGGGTAGCGTTTCTTTTGGTTCCTCTATCAATTAATCAGTTATGATAATAATAAGGATCAACGTGTAATAATATATCTCTATAGATAATATTCAGACCGCTGCATTGAAAAATAATCTCTCTCTTTCTAAATTTTAGTTAAAATCTAGGTCACATGCACTAATCACCAAGCTCTCAAATTTCCAATGAATGACGAGGATTGACTCCCCTATTTCAATATTGTCGTACTAAATAACAAATGGTAGGATTTAATAAGATCCATTAAAGGAATAATTAGCGAAAGAAAAGGGCAAAATGGATAAAGTGATAATTACTAAGAGCGAATTGGCAAACACGTCATGAGACGAATTCATTTATTTTTTAAATTGAATCATCTCTATTATTAAGGAAAAATATGATAAGATTTTACCACTGAATAAAATGGACAAATAACGATGAATAAATAAAATCTCTCACGAACGTTTTACCGATTGCAATGTGAATTAGGCAGTTTTGGCGAGTAGAGCGTCGATTAGTCTGAGTTTGGCCTTTGTTTGTTTATAAGACTCATAAACAGTTTGTACATGAGGGCCCCTGTCCTCCCTCTGCATTCTGCGTCCAGCGCGTGCTTCAAACTGTGCTTCGAGCTCTTTGAGAGCTCTCCTCAGCCTCTTCTTCTCTTCCCTCATGATCCTCTGCTGAGCAACGAGATCCTCCTGGGGCATGGCATGAAGACTTTCTCCCACACCACCACGACTGCCCTCACTGCTGCTGTGCTGACTGTCACTATCAGTGGGGAACTGATCTGGGCCATCAATGCAATCCAAGATGCCTCGATGTGACATATCAGGTTCACTGGCTCTTCTGTCGCAGTCTCCAGAGTTGCCAGGCAATGATGAAGAGGTGAAATCCATCGCCTCATGCTCGAGAATCGTCGCAAGCTCAGATATGCTATCCTTATTCTTGCTAGCTCCAGCCCTGATGAGTAGTCTCTTGAGTGATCGATATCTGTCGTAGAGATCTCTCACCATTGCCCTGTCCTCTTTGGCAACAGGTCTGCCAAATGCTCCCTCGATGTGCAGGAGGGCCTTCTGTACTGCTGTCTTCTCATCCAGCAGCTGCTCGTACGTCATCTCCTCCATGTTGTCAGGTCTGTCATACTTGGATCTCTTCTCACTGAGTTTTCTCTCCACCTCCTTCACCATGTCCTCCATCAGGCTCGCCCTCGACTTGAACTCCTGACTGTTATTGTTGTTCACAGCTGTTGAATTGTCCTGATTTCTTCCATTCAAGGTCAACGATTTGGACAGCTTGACGTTGGCTCGCAGAGCACTGATTGGATCCTCCTTCAGCAGCTTGTACTCTTTTCGAAGTTTATTCAGCTCTCCACACAATCTCTTAATGTCGCGATTGCTCATTTTGTCCGAGTGACTAGGACGATAGCCAAAATTTTCCTCGAATTCATCCTCGTATTTTTTAATCTTTTTCTTCAGACCGTTTATGTGCTTTGTTAAGGTCTTCAGACCGAGCTCTGAAGGGCTGGGAATTGTCGGGGTACCGTCTGCCTCGGAGTAGAATCGTCGGGGAATTAGCAAGGAATTTCTCGGTGAGAGCATAGATTCTGTGGGGCCTTTCGCATCTTCGAATATCGCGGGTTCAGCCTCTGGATCCGCCTGTCGCATTGTGAAACTCCAGTTTGTGGGTACTGGATTGTTCAAGTCTTCTTGGTCCAGAGATCTCGCACGCACCGGGGACGGAGAACGCGAGGGACCGCTGCTCAGGAAGTCCAGGAAACTGGGTCCTGTTGTCTCGTCTGCACTGCTGTTATTCTCTGTTGATGACTCAATGTACAGTTCTGGGATGAGTTCCTCTTCGTTCTCCTTGCTGGAGTTCTGATCGTGTTTGAGGGCCTTGTGAACTCGTCGTCGACGATTCACCCGGAGACAACGAGGGGTCAAACTTCTGCTGAATCTCTCTGTACTCCGGAGACGTTCTACGTCGCACTCGAGTCTCTCTGCGGCAAGAAAAATGTCGCAGGGTGAGGGTAAGGGCGAGGGCTTGGAAACCGGCGAGACGTTGGTCCTCTCGTGGAGGGGTAGCCCTCCGCATCTCTGAAATCAAAACCAATGCCAGTTTCTCAGGGAAACAAATATGATATGACACGTACAGGAAATAAGCGGTGAAATGCGATAGGTCAGGTTTGAGAGATTGCGAGAATAAAATGTGCATGAGACAACTTTTTTCCAAGGGTCAAACAGAATAGCGAGACAGAAATTTCAAGATAACACTTTCGATGTTATTTCATAACATTCATGCTGCTACGAAAAATTATTATTATTATTTATTCAAAAAATAATAATATTATACTATAAAACATACATTCTTTACTTGAAGAATTCCTGTTTGTTACAAAAAAAATGTTTTCTATACATGAGAATAAGAAAATTCTGTCGAGTGTTGGAATATTCCATCCCAATCTATTCTCAAAGAGAGAAGTTCCGAGAGAAATCAATTTATTTCATTTTACCATCTTCACTTGTGATGTCGAAATAGACTTCTCACGATCCGGAATGGAGTACCCTCGTTAAAATGAAAAAGAGTACGCTTTTAATAGCTTTGAACGTAAGAATTCATTGACATACCACTCCGTGCCCCATATCGGCTCCAGGCTGAGGTAAATGCGTCGAAATATGGAGATGTTTATCGCTGTTGAAATCCTCGTGACTGCTGACTCTTCGGATCGATTCCACCGCGTTTGAAGTATTTTTATCCAAAATTTGTTCCTCACTATTGCTTCTGGCCAGTTGAACAACAATTTAGTATCGAATAAATAAAGAGAAAAAATAGTCGATAAACCAATGGATCGATTCAATCAAGTGGGTACCACTCATTACCTGATGAGTTTTCTCTCTTGGCAACAGGATTCGCAGTGTTCCTTTCGCTTGCGCGGTTTCAGCGCGCAATGCAAGTTACTGTCCACTGTTTGTTCACAAACCTCGTTCTGCTCCTTGGTATCCCTGCAAACGTCTCTGTTATCGTTAGAAACCGTCGAATAACTTCCCGATTCCTTGACACTGAAAAAACAAAAAATTTCATCATGTAATATACTATTGACTTATCCAATCGCTTGGAACATTCCAGCTAATTCTCCACCCGATTCCATTAACCAGTCACGTTTTATTTCGACTCGTCATCAACTCGTGCTTTTCATTATTACCGATTGATTCAATAAAAATCTCTACGAGTGTAAGCAGTACAATTGACTTTTCTGTCATGGATTTCATTCAATTCTTATGCGCGGCAATTAATTACCCAGGTGTTTTTCTCGACGGATTGCGACTATTTATTTATTATATTTTTTTTTGCATTGATTGGGCTGAATGATTTAGTAGTGACAAGTTTTGTTTTTCAACAATATCTCAAACGAACAGTAATTTATTGCTTATTTTCATTTTGTTGATCATATTTTTTTATAAGCCTCATGCAAGTGTGAATAAAATAAGTAAAGTCATTTTTGTTTCTGAGTTATGAGCATTTCAAAAAATTTTAAGGGTTCATTTTGCCTAATCTTCCCTCACTCATAAAGGCAAATCGGGGAAATCGTTTTAGTCCCTCGAACTGTTAAATTGATACGGAGTTTATTCAATTGGTCGATAAATAAACTGTGTAAAGGCCTAAAAAATCGAACTGTCAAGGTGCAATTCCTAGTTGGGTACGAAAAATTCACCTTGTAACGAAAAATGGGAGCAATGACCGAATAAATGCCAATTGTTCGCCAAATGGAAAAAAATTAACTGTTTCCAAGTATTTTTTTTTTCACTATCTGGATGGAAAAAGTACCGGCCGGCAGGGACTTTTCCATCGCTTCTGTCTTTCATTATTGCCAATGGATACGGATGCATATACGTGGAATTTATCGCGAATGTCGGAGAATTTCAAATTCTATTATATCACTGATTAATCTAAAAAACTATCAATTTTACGCGAAACCGTCAAAAGACTTTTGTTCTCAGGCATGCAATCACTTAGAAAAAAAAATCCTTCAATCAGGATGATCTTACATATGAATGAATGGCCGAACTTCACTCTATGTGGTCTATCTCAGCTAGAACAGTAGTCTATGTGATCATAAAAATCAACTTTCTTTTCCAATGGTTTTTCACTGAGTTGATGATAGATCCGTGAACGTTTCGATGATACATTTATCAAACTCCTTGTCTTTATCCCGAGATTGACAAGTTTCCGACAACTCCGCCGAGTTGCAAATATTCCACGATAAATGGCGAAACGTCGAAAGTCAATGAATTATTTCCAGGACTTGTCAATGAAAATAGCGGAAAGGCAATTGGATTTTTTTTTAAATCGTGCGATGAACGTCGTCGGTCAACTGCTCGATGCACACTGACTCGCGATGCCGGCGACAAAACTTTATATCCACTACCAATGGAGCATAAAATACATTTATCGCTGATGGTAGTATACAATGATGCTAACCCCATCGTGTAGTTGTATTCATGAGTTACACAAGTTTCTCTATCTAATAAGCGCATCCCACTTTGTTAAACTGGTGAAATTCCAGAATATAGTATTTGAACTCGGACCTGCAGGTATACATTGTGTTCAATGGCTTGAAGAATTCAGGGACGTTGGAGGGTCTATTGGGTACCCGATGGACTTTATTTTTTCTTGTTTTCTCCAGAAAAAGTCTCACGTGACGTCTCTCATTGTAACGACTTCTTCTATTTACTATTTTATAAATATTCCATCACTCATAAACGGGCTATGGGAAACATAAGAAGAAACATCCGCTCTACAGGACTCTCGTTACTCTAATATTTATGGTATCCACCGCTAATAATGCGACGGGAAACCTGGAATTATCGATCGGTATTTACCGGTAATATAAGGAGAAGCTGTGGTATATACAGTACATATTGGAAGACGATCAGCTAGTGCATTCACGTAAATTGCATGCCAGGGCCGTGCGTCTTCCTCAATTCACCCTATCATGTTTTTTTCCCTTAACCCACACCAATTTAAATTTGTTATAAGTTGTCCCCGAATGTTCAATAATTGTTATCTTAAATTATTTTACATTTTTTTATTATTTGAATGAATCAATAACCTTGAAGATACTCCTACTGTGCAGTCTTTTCTCATCCAAAGTCATGAATTCATAATCATTGACCCAATAATGGAGTCATTGAGAATTATTGGCATCACCACGTGATTGGAAAACTCTGCAATTGCATGACACACGGAATTGAGCATTGGAGGGAAACCGGTTGTGCACCTCGATTTTCGTGTTCATTCAGTTTCAAGAAAAATTTTGGAAGGAAAATATTTCAGCAAAACTTCCGGAATCCTCTCTCAAGGACAACCGGTTAATTCGAGGACGCGCGATCCCCACCGAAATATCGGCGATATTCGAGGAATGATTAATGTCATGAATTATTTTGTCATCATAACAACACGTGGGAGAGTTGGCAGTGAATTTCTATGGTAGTTTGCGCTTGACATTGGTGGACTTTCTGGGTCATTATAGACCAAAATAGATTTCGACTGGAAATTACTGTGTCCATCACTCATATACCAACCTACGTAAACATCAGGGAATTCTGTCTTCCGCGGTATTGTTTTTGTTCGAAAATAGAAGAGGGAAACCCATCAATTGTTATTGCCTCTTGTAAGAGCGACTGTTTTGGATTTTAAAATTAGGATAAGACCTCCACACAATCATGAAGAATAGGATAAAAAATCTCTTTTGGCTCGATCAGTCAAAACATTGTTTGAATTAAAAAATTCAATAGTGAAGGAGTACAGTAACATGAGTCAAATTTATTAATCATTGAATGGCACAACTAAGGGGATTAATGAATACAATCGAGTCGAACTCAATGAGATGTGAAAAAACTTGAAAGTCGTGACCGGATCATATTATGATTTTTGTGGGATTCATACCAGTCGCTTCGCCGTCGCGAACCCTGGGTATACATATATAACTGAATTTGCATGAATTCTAAAAATCATATACTTTCACGTGAGAGAGGGATTATTTTTTTTTTTTGGAAACCCTCCAGGAGTGGCGATCTACGCAGTTTAGTCTCCGAAAAAATTGGAAGAGCCATTTTGCAACGAAAATAGACGAGCGTGTGAATAATCCATTTATAAAATCATGTCTGGTTGCATGTAAGCACAACTCAGGTTTATTTAGGTGCACGGAAAACTTGTGGTTTGCAAGTCGTGTATCATACAAACGGAAGACAAACGTCACAGGAATATTGCGTCAGTGAAGCACACTGTGGCTTCACCGTGCAACTCTTTTACTTATAATTTCAATTATACAGCACGGATTATTGAACAATGCTTCATCGTATTACACGATCGGTATTTATGGGGCATCATTCAGCTCCGACTTTTGCTATCAGACACTTTACGACGATTAATTTTATCGAATGACGTATCGATTTTGATTGTGATACGATAAACGGAAAAGATCTAACAGTGAATTATGATACAGGAGACGAACAAAGCAACGGCAATAGGCTTTAGGTCGATCTTCGGTTCGATGAATTTTCGCGGAATATCTTGACAGCTTTCCGAGAAAAAAATTATTTTCATTATTCACTATAGAAATTTAAACGAAACCTGTCAAATAAATATTTTACTCACCAGCCTGGGAACAGATTGGATGCCTCAGTGAGGATGTCCCGAAGAAGAGTAGTGGCTGGTGGAACATGGGGTAGGACTACTGGTGCAAACACCCCACAGACACCGGAGCTTCTGCCATGGCGTGCCTCATACTTGCTGAGGTAATTAGCCAAGTACCCGAAGAGGCGATAATGCGATGGGGGGAGACTCAGCAGGAGCTGGTGCGTCCGCTCGATCCACATTTCTCGATTAGTCGAGTGATATTCTGGGAAAAATATTCATTTCCACTCCATTATTCAATGTCCTTAACTCAAAAAATTAAGAATCCAGGAATTTACTGGTGCAAGATATGTATAAATTTTCTTAGTGGGGATAATTTTTTTTAATCAGTGCTGTGGGAATATCTTGATAAAAATTAAAGGAATAATGGAGTAGTGGAGTAATTAATGGGCTTACGAGCATGGATATGAATAAGCTGATCAACGATGGAAGAAGGGATCAGTGGCTGTGGCAATTCCTTGAGATACTGCCTCAGCATAGTTGCTGCAGTTGAGGGACATGCTGCACCCTCGAGATCGGCATCTCCTCGTCTCTCAAAAGCCGCCCTCAAACGTTCCGTCAACCGAGGACTGCCCCCTGACAGGCGAAACACCGATGCACTCTGAAATCCATGGTGCTCGATATACCCACAGAGACGATGCACCACATAGGGCACTCCAGTGTCTAAATAAGAGTCAGCCAGCTCCAGACGAGCCCCAAAAATTCGTTTGGATTCGGCGTTGCCGATACCACGACCCAAAAGGGAGCCGGTCAGCACGCGTTTCACACGCGCCAATCGTGACTCGTCCTGCTATCAACAATTGCATTAATTATCACCTCTGAATGATTATTATTAATAGCGTAACATGAAATTGTGTAAAATTGCCTTGACGTTGGCGGTCCGTTGACGCGTTTCAATCGGACTCGCGGGTGGAGATCCCTGACAATTTTCTTGATGATGTTGGAGTACTTCCTGCTGCGGGCGTCTCATCCCCGTCCGTCTGCACCGCGACCCACTGCCGCACTGAGATTCCACAAAAAAAAAAAAGAAACAAGAAAAATAGCAAATATAGAAATTGGCATATAGCATGCAGAATTGCTAGCTAAAAATAGTCAAGATGCTGATATACTCACAATGCACTCTTTCGCAGCTCTCCACAGATTGAAGTATATCACTTGCGGTTTGAGAACCGTATTCAACGGCAATTAGCAAAATAGACGATTGAAATTTCGATAACAATACAGTGACAAATACTGTCCACTAATGATAGATTGAGGTACCAATAGAAGGAGAAAACTATTCGATCGGTTTTGATTTGGGGATTCCCTCAGAATAGAATTACAATGGTGAACTTGACAAGATTACCAATGACTTTGTCAAGCAATCCTGTTAGCAACAAGATGTTTTATCCACACAAGTTCAGTTAAAGTCGATCGATATAATCAATAGCTCATCGATCACGGTGAAAGTAGTTGTTGATTAATAATGACGTGCTCGTGGTTCATGTCTCTATCACGACACATTATATTGAAAAAATGGTTTTAACGCTTCCGAGGCGATGGATAACACCCTATGGTTGCTTCAAAAAGTGCGTAGACACTAGGCGTAGAGTAAGCATCGGGGGTATAGCCGACTTTTTTCTGAGCTACTACTCCCTCACTGACCTGCTTTATTTTTTATTTAAAAATCAGCTTGTCTCACCCCACAAATCAAGGGACGACTACCACCCGGTCACCAACACAATTTTCTTCCCTGCCCTCGCATCCTTCTCCTCCACTTTACATCAACCTCTGGGGTGTCCTTGATGCCCTGGAACACAGCCAGTTTCACGGTTTACCATTAATGTCAATAACACCCTATCAAAATTAAATGCTACTTCTGAGTAATTGCGTTGATACTATATACTTGTTTACAGAAGTTCCCAAACAATTTATACTTGCATTCTAGACTGAGAAGAAAAATTCTTTTGGTACATTAATTTATCTCTGCCAAGTAAAATTGCCTACATTAAAATTTTAAGCAGCACAAAGACGAAAACAATGAAGACAAAAATTTCAAAGTATTCTCATTGCTGCTCGAACTTCTCTCGAAAAGCCGAGAACATTCTCTAGATTTCCTACTGACATCTACTGCAATTTAAGATTTCTCACTCTCTAAGTGGAATGTCACTCGACAGTTATACTTTCCACTTTCAATTCGATTTAACAATGATGACATTCCAGGGGGGAGTTTCGCATCTCCGTCGCAATCATCCACGAATGAATTTTGTGCTACGCAATTGAAGGGGTGGAAGGACAAAGGGTTTGTAAACAAATACAATAAACAATTAATCGACACGAAGTGGCGATAACAACGTCATTGATAGCGCTTGCGTTTTTAATTCGACCGGTGGACCTATAATGTAAATTAATGTGAATTATTTAAATACCTGAGTTCTCTGTCTCCAATCATGCCAAACTTTATCACTGATAACTCACATAAAGCTCCACATGTAGCACTTAACACCCCTCAACCCCTGGTAATTGAGAGATATAAAAATATGTCGAAATAACGAGTGTTATCCGCGCTGGTCTGTTTATCAACGGAAATGACGTTTGTTTTCTCAATTATACCGATGATGCAAACGTCTTCGACTGGTCTTTGGCAACGTAGACCGTGCCAAGAGAGAATTAACCATTTTTTCAGTCTTATGCGCATGACGCGCATGCCTTCAACGAGAATTGCCCAAGGTGCGATCAATAAGTGAGAGCGGGATTCACCGTGTGTTGAACACGGTCACTAACCGCTACGATATTTGACACTCTTTCTCCTAGAGATGCACTCTATATAGATCATTGTGTAACTTGTCATTCCCCTTCATATTCCATAAAAATCATTTGCTTATGAAAATTCCACTATTATACAATAATGTATAATGAAACAATAGATTATTGCTGTTTCACTGTCATTAAATTTTTCTCTTCCATCTTCTATTCCACTGATTTCCTGTTTCTATAGCATTTCTGTATGGATAAATTTTATTAAATTGTTGATGGAACATGAAAAAATTGATTCTTGCTCTGTCAATAGTTTATTGTTAGACAAGGACATTACATATGAATGATTTTGTAAATACATAAATACGTAATTTATCTTTCTAATTCGTATCAGGCTTTCTCCCAGTATTACTCACTTAGCATTATTATATGTAATTATATGTAATAATATGTAATAATAAACAAAGGAAAGAATAATTTGCATATCTCCTAATAAAAAAAAAACAATTTCTTTCAACGGAAAAATCAACCGTCGAAAAAGTGTATAAATGAATGGTGATTTCTTGAAAAATACAGTGTCTGGTTAATAAACAAAAATAAAAATGATTAAACGAAGAACATGGGGTTCTTAGAGATGAGTTCATCCTTAATGGTGAGACGATTTCTCTGCTCGTGCTCTAGGTTAGCGACGTTGATGTTCACCCCGTGGGTGAGACTTCTAGCTCGAAATGCTGCAAGATGGGCGTAATAAGTTGGAGCTGGATAACTCACCGATCGAGTGCAGCGGGAGAACATATGACATAAGTAATAAGTCAGCTGTTCAATACTGTCCTCGGACATGTCGTTGTCGTCCCACAAGCAACGGTATTTTGTGGGTCTTGCAGTGCCCTGAATACTAGCATGAGAGACAAGATAAAAATCAATGTGAGAAGGATGTGTGATGTTGGTATCAACAACAGTTCCAGCCTGAACATTTCCATTTCTATCATCCGAATTCTTGGGATCAGTGGGGAAGAATCTGATGTGATGACGTTTCTGAACGACTAAGAAAGTAATCTTCGGTTGATAATTGGGATCGAGCTTGCGGCAAGCGTTGCGCATTGCCTGGAGTTCAAAGTGCATGACCTGAGTAAACTGTCCCTCACTAACCCCATCACGATAGAACATAATCTTCTGGGGTTTGCACTTATTCTTCTCCTCGAAAATCCTGATTTGTTTGTAAACAATTTCTTCCAGATGGATAATGAGCTCCTGCCTGGGTGGCTGCAGCTGGATGACAACATTGTATCTGAATGCTGTGGGATCGTGGCTTGCTGCAACAGCAGCGATTGACGGTGTCTCTTTGGCATCGGGCGATGGATGAGTCACATCAGCCCCAAAGATTATACAGGGAACCTTGAGACAATCTGGCTTGCTGTTTTGCTGGAACGTGTGATTGACTCCATTGAGCTTTGAGTTTACTTTCAGTAGAATATTACCAGCAGTCATGGAATTAAATCTATTAATTGTATTATCCTTAATACACTGAGTTAAACAGCCAACAGTGAGTTCAGCCACTTGCTTGACCTTGGGGTAGACGTCCTGCCCATGTCCAGGGATTACCACAAACAGCAGCTTGAGATTTCCCTTTTTATGATTGTGCAGATAATTCTGCAGCTCTCGAATGTCCCTCGTTGGTGGTTTCATCGTTGTGAATGGAGTGACAGGGGCCCCAATAATCATTCCATTCCTCATCGCCTGCTTCGTCAACTCACTTACAAAGTTATACAGCCTATCATCGGTCGTTCTGCTGAGATTTAGAATGGTCCAGGATTTTTCCTCGAGATTCAGAGCAGTTCTAAACGCATTAGCCCGCCACACACCCTTGGCAGGTCTGATCTCCCTTTGATCTAGCAAAGTAGGAGGATTCAGGACACGAGCATCAATGGTTTCAAACTGTGGATTGATGGAAATACCGAATTCTTGCATTGTGGGATGCTGGTTGAAGCCCATTGCCTGAAAGGCTTCCTTGATCCTATTTTTTCTGGTTTTTGTGTCCTTAGCAGTTTCTCGTATCATCTCTCTTGTCTGGTTCTCATCCAGCTTTTTGTTGGTGATGAGACCCGGCGCCACTGTGCACAATTCAATAGGTACCAGATTATGCTTGTTCCTGGAACCTACCCAGAGGCAGGGAAGATCTGGATATTTAATGGTATATTTCTTTGCTCCTTTGAAATACGCCAGGACTGTGGTCACCTCTCCATTTTCCAGCTCAAAGGTCGCCTCTCGAGCAGATCTGCCCAGCCCATTGACTCCAACTGTTCGTTTGGTCGTTGGGTGGCCTGGAAGCTGATAGATCACCTTCAGTGTCTTGAAAAACACCTCGATCTTCTCGCGATTGAACTGGACTATCTGAGCGTTCAGCTGTCGACACTCTTCTCTATAAGTGCTACACAGCTCCATCATGGTATCCATAACGGGTTGATTTTTGGGGAAAGCCTTGAAGGCCACGTCTACGTTGAAGTAGGGTTTCCACCCGAGAACTGCTGACTGGAATAATCCACTCCATAGCTCCATTCCGCCACCCAAATTCATGGCATTTCGTGGCTGATTGAAGAACGATTTACCAGCCTGGATGGAACGATCGAAGGATGCAGAGCGCATAATTATATCCACCGCCTGCATTGTCGTTTCATTTCGATCAGACTCTGCGAGTCCTGGTTTCACATTCAATAGCCAAGAGATATCGATCACGTTGACTATTTTCATTGTCACTGTGACTTCTCTGTTTTGCTGGCGTTCCTCATCGAAGACCGTTACTGTGGCTGTGGTTTGGCTACCGAAGGGCAGTTCACCAGCTGCGTAGGCATTTTTTCGGCCGTCAAACGCTGGATAATTTCTAGGAAAGTTTTGCTCTCTCATTTTCGCAAAGGCAAGTTTTTTGAGGAACTTTGGTTTATCTGGATCGAAAGTGACGTCATAATGGATTACTGGAATCTTTAGCTTCTGGTTGAAAACAATGGACAGCATGTTAGTCTCTACTTGAATACGTCGTCCCTGAGTGCCAGCTTGGTACGGATTTTTACGTTTGGGAATCTGTGCAAGGAGATGGTTCTTTGTTTTTACGTCCAGGGATTTCTTGTCGATGCCTACTGGCTTTGGCAGGGCTTTGCTGGGGCTACTCCCTGTGTCAGATTTTACTGAGGCTGTGTCAGAATCGCGAGTTGTCGAAGGAGCCTGAGACTGCGGTCTCGATTGAGCCGGCTGGGGTGGCATCGAAATCTGAGGCTGCTGCTGTTGTTGTGGAGGACCTTGAC